TTCTATTACATCACTCACAGATCAAAAAAGTCGTTTACAGCCATGTTCACTCGGGTATTTCGCTCGCATCATCAAGTGTTTACAGTGGAAGTTCGATCATAGATTTGAGTTCGATGCATGATGTCTGTGGTTCGATGCGGCTGTGTCGGCGCATAACATAGGTCATAAACAAACTTATCTGATTGGCTTACGGGTAACCAATGATTTTAAACTTCAGTACGCGCCCCCTAGCGAGAGAGAAAACACTTCTCTATTATGCTATCCCAGACTCTGTGTACGAAGCAAAGTGAAGTAGCAGAGTCTGGTATTACCAGGCTAGAAGAACAGGGGAATAACTGGGAAAATGAAACGTACCGGTAAGCATGCAATATGCGATACTAAACACATGGATATGCCAAAAGACTCCATATATGGGAATTCGTTCAGTGGTACGGTCTAAATCCTGACTGAAAATCCTCGCAGATATCATTTCTTTCTAAAAAGGAACATAATTGTGAGGATACTGCCTTTTCTAGTATCTTTGACAGAAAATGTAGATTCGAGATCGGCCTGTAATTGACCAAATCTGTACGATCAAGTTGCGTTTAACAAGTGGTTTAATCATAGCAGCTTAAAGGTTTTTGGTACGTATCCTAGTGACAAAGATTAATTAATGATATTGAGAAGAGGATCAATGACCTCTGGAAGCATCTCTGTCAATAGCTCAGTCGGTATAGGGTCTAACATAGCCTACATGTTGTCGATTTAGATGATTCCTATAGCAATGAATGAATCGAATTTTTCCTTGGGGAGACTACAATGCACTCCCTGATGCGATGCTGTAGTAAACGGTTGCATAAGCAGTGGTGGACAGTAACGAAGTAAATGTAATTCGTTACTGTAGCCTACTTAAGTAGTTTTTTTGCGTATCTGTACTTTACTCAAGTATTTACATTTTGGGAGACTTTTACTTTAACTCCACTACATGTCAAAGTCAAATATCTTACTTTTTACTCAACTACATTTTCAAAATCAGTCGTTCCTTTTTATTTATGAGTGGATAAAAACGTAACTAGTCAAACGAGCCACCAATCACAGTACAGCGCGCGCGCGCTTTGTTTTGAAATTGCCTTGGCGGTCTCTACTAAGCGCGAATCTGGGGTGCGTTTCCCGAAAGCATCGTTAGCCAACTATGGTCGCAAGTTCCGTCGTTACCAATAGAGTTCAATGGGATTTGCGACCAACTTGCGACCATAGTTGGGAAACGATGCTTTCGGGAAACGCACCCCAGAGCCATTAAATATGAGAGTTGCGAACATAGATGGTTGTGACCGTGATCTCGCCGCCGCGCGGTCACGTTATTCGTGTAGCTCTTAATAGTTCCAAACAAATCGCACTGACAATGATTTTAAGCGGGACAGAGAGCAGCAGCTATTATTGCAGCAATTATTGGTAAGTATTGACGCATAATGTACATTGCTTACGTTGCCACTAAAATGACTTGCATATAATAGCTTTTTTTTCTTTCTGGTTGAGTAGCAGAAACACTGCATTAATAAGTTTTTGTGTTTAATTTTGGAGGGAAATTGGCTGCTCCCATAACATAGAATATATATATATATATGTAGCCTATGTGTGTGTGTGTGTGTGTGTGTGCGCGCGCGCGCGCGCGCGTGTGAATATGTGTATGTGTGTGTATATATGTGTGTGTATATATATATATAATGGCGTTGTGCAGGTTTATGTGAATGTATCATAACATTAAGATGTTAATAATTATGACCATAGGCGCTGGAGAAAAATATATACAGTAAATACTGTAAATGTTTTATACCTTATGGGAACAGTCCCCTTCCCTCCAAAATTAAACACACAAAAAATTAATTTTTATCAATTTTTATCAGCTTTATCATTTGTTCATTTGTATTAAATCTGTTTTTTATTTGTTGAACATCAATTCAATTTTTAACCTTAGATGGGTTTGGAAGTTTTTTGTATTTCCTAATTCGGGGAACAGACACAGTCTCTATGTGATGATATCTTGGTGAAAGAGGATGGGATTTATCTGACCTTGGTGACGTGAGACAGCTAGCAGACGGACGGTTTAGCCAGTCTGTTTGCTTCCTGAGCCCCAGATTGTCATGTTTCAGCTCTAAAACTATGTGCCATATTACTAGAGAGAAGAGCAGCACCATCCCAGGAGGGATGAATACCATCTCTTTTCAACAGGTCAGGTCTGCCCCAAAAACATTTCCATTTGTCTATGAATTCTATGTTATTTTGCGGACACCACTTAGACAATCAGCCATTGAGTGAGTACAGTCTACTAACTATCTCATCACTCCTGCGAACAGGAAGGGGGCCAGAGCAAATTACAGTGACTGACATCGTACTTGCGAGTTCACACACCTTTTTAACATTAATTTTAGTGATCTCCGACTGGCAAAGTCGAACATCATTTGTGCCGACGTGAATGATAATCTTAGAGAATTTACGATTAGCATTAGCCAGCACTTTTAAATTTGCTTTGATGTAAGGCGCTCTGGCTCCCGGCAAACATGTGACTATGGTGGCTGGTGTCTCTATTTTCACGTTCCATTGATAGAATCGCCAATAACTAGGGCATATTCAACAGATTCTCAGTGGGTGTTTCACTGAGTGAGGAGAACCTGTTTAATGTTGTAATCGGAAAGGAAAAGCGGTGTTTTGTCCCGCGACTATAGCGGCGTCTTTCCGTCACCCAATTGCCCTGCTGCACGGGCTCTACTTCAGCCGGAAGCGAACAATGTACAGTGTTCACTAAGCTAGGCGCATGAAAAGCAGTATCTAAAGCCCTTGCACTCTTACTACCCTCGATTAAAGTTTGGATGTATCTAGTTCTGAAATCTTTTTCCGTCAGCCTGACTATCTCCCTGCATTTATCACATGTAAATTCTATGCTGACAGAAAGGGCTATGGTATACATGTTACAATAAGAGGAGAAGATGACACGACTCACCGTGTTTGTTGACTGATTCTACTTACCACAGCTTTGATGGATTTGTAAAAGGCGCGAGCTAAATAAATAAGTAAACTCCAGCAAAACAAGCTTCTTCTGCAAGCATCCATTGTGAAAAAAATACAATGTTAGGGATCACATAAATGCTGTGAAACCTGTTCCACCTTGAGTCAAAGGAAACAATATGGCATCAGTGTTGCTTTCATCTGACCATCCTGTGTAATTCTTAACACTCACAAGTTGTGCTACAGGTTGTATGTGTGTGTGTCTGTAACTGTAGTGATGAACAGAAGTGCATCAGTGTGGAAAGAGAATCTTATGCAGAAACACATTAGTGCAGGTGCCGGTTCATGAGGGGATTTACATTAAATCTACTTTAGGTTGAACTGTATCATGTGCCTGTTACATTCTCACTCATATTCAGAGTTCTGTCTGTTTGAAATCTCCACACTGATTAAAGCGCTGCAGTGATGATGTATATTTTTGTAGGCCAAACCACATTTAAGTTCACATCACCCTGGATCCCTCTACAAAAACCCTTTAGGATTTTTCCATTGTCCTTTAAAGGGAGGGTAGGCGATTTGTTCCAGAATTTTTCATTTTTATGCTGGTTGAAAGTCTCTTCACATCCTGATAGCAATCACTAAGTTAGGTGGTCTAAATGTATTTATATGTATATATATCGTCTGTGGAAGCGTAAGATCATAAAATGTCCATCCAATAATTGCATTCGGTCCGAATGCAGTGATACGATGTCCTACCTATCAGCCTATGTTTTTCCATATCTCCGCACACCTGCTCACGCAGACATCACACGTCATCGGCGCATTTCATGCTATGCAGAACTAGACAGACGTCAGTCACAGAGAGCCGCAAACGAAACATCATCCTCCTTTTACAGTTCCAGATGGAAACCTGTGACGTTATACTCGGAGCGGTTCGTGACTTGAATTTATGTGTTTCCCACTGCATGTTAACGCTTTGGAGACACTCTGAGATTTTACACTGCTATTTTAATTTTTGCAAATATTTTTTTTTTGAACTTGTTCACCACGGACCTTATTTTAGGCATTCAACCAAAAACGCAGGATGATGGAACCGGAGGTTCTTTATGCTACCTCATTTCTGGGTTATAAGCATGAGATGATCGACATGAACATATGCATGTGACCCTATGTAATAATAGCAAATGCTATTTTATTAATAACTATAAATTGAAATCAGTCTTTTTACTGGAGTGAACATTTTCTGGGTTGGCTTGTTTTTGAAAGCCAGTAAAGGATGACAGAATTACAATTTTTGGGGAACAAATCCTTTAATGCAGTGAAATTGAACAGTTAATTAAACAATAAAAAGTAAACAGACAGAACACAATGCATCTTATTAATTACAGCGATACATGAAGAATCATAATGCATCTCATCCAGCACACAGTAATGACACGCATGAGCCATTTATAAGACCTAAATAATTACTCAATTCAAATCAATTAATTTTTTGTTGGTTTTGAAAATTCCAGGAAGACATTTGCTGTGAAATGTATTTATTTTGGATGAACAGGAATGTTTGATTTCAACTATGAATGTCTGTAGGATCCAGACTCCATAGATAAATAAACACAGACACACAACACAAGCGATTCTTTTTAAATTCTTTTAAAAATTATTGTTTCTTTTTGGAAAAAGTATGGATTCATTTTGGAAAAAGTATCGATTCTTTTTGAAAAAGTATCGATTCATCTTGGGAAAAGTATCGATTCATCTTGGAAAAAGTATCGATTAATTTATGGAAAAGTATCGATTCAATTTGGGAAAAGTATCGATTCTTTTTGTAAAAAGAAGCGATTCATTTTGAAAAAGTAGCTATTCATATTTGAAAAAATAGCGATTCATTTTGGGAAGAGTATCGATTTAATTTGGGAAAAGTAGCGATTCTTTTTTTTTAAAAAGTAGCAATTCATCTTGGATTCATCGTTTCTTTTTGATAAAAGTAGTAATTCACTTTGGAAAAAGTATCAATTCTTTTTGAAAAAAGTATCGATTCTTTTAGGAAAAAGTATCGATTCATTTATGGAAAAGTTTCGATTCAATTTGGGAAAAGTAGCGATTCTTTTTGTAAAAAGTAGCGATTCACTTTGAAAAAAGTAGCGATTCATCTTGGAAAAGTATCGATTCACTTTGGAAAAAGTAACGATTTAATTTGGGAAAAGTACCAATTCACTTGGGAAAAAGTATCGATTCATCTTGGAAAAAGTATCGATTCTTTTTGGGAAAAGTATCGATTAAATTTGGGAAAAGTAGCAATTCACTTTGAAAAAAGTAGCGATTCAATTTGGGAAAAGTAGCGATTCACTTTGGAAAAAGTATCGATTCTTTGTGGAAAAAGTATCGATTAATTTTGGGAAAAGTAGCGATTCTTTTAGGAAAAGTATTGGTTCATCATGGTAAAAGTAGCAATTCACTTTGGAAAAAGTATTGATTCTTCGTGGAAAAAGTATCAATTAATTTGGGGAAAAGTAGCGAATTCTTTTAGGAAAAGTATCGGTTCATCATGGAAAAAGTAGCAATTCACTTTGGAAAAAGTAGCGACTCTTTTTGAAAAAAGTATCGATTCGGGAAAAGTATCGATTGATCTTGGAAAAAGTATCGATTCTTTTTGGGAAAAGTATCGATGCAATTTGGGAAAAGTGTCGTTTCAATTTGGGAAAAGTAGCGATTCAATTTGAAAAAGTAGCGATTCATCTTTGAAAAATTAGCGATTCTTTTTGGAAAAAGTAGTGATTCATTTTGGGAAAAGTAGCAATTCAATTTGGGAAAAGTAGCAATTCACTTTGGAAAAAGTAGTGATTCTTTTAAGAAAAAGTATCTATTCATTTTGGGAAAACTATCGTATCGATTCAATTTGGGAAAAGTAGCGATTCAATTTGGAAAAAGTATCGATTCAATCTGGGAAAAATAGCGGTTCACTTTGGAAAAAGTATCGATTCTTTGTGGAAAAAGTATCGATTCATTTTGGGAAAAGTAGCGATTCTTTCAAGAAAAAGTATCGATTCATTTTGGGAAAAGTAGCAATTCAATTTGGGAAAAGTAGCAATTCACTTTGGAAAAAGTATCGATTCTTTGTGGAAAAAGTATCGATTCATTTTGAGAAAAGTAGCGATTCTTTTAAGAAAAAGTATCGATTCTTTTAAGAAAAAGTATCGATTCATTTTGGGAAAAGGAGCAATTCTTTTAAGAAAAAGTATTGATTCTTTTAAGAAAAAGTATCGATTCTTTTAAGAAAAAGTATCGATTCATCTTGAAAAAAGTATCGATTCATCTTGGTAAAAGTTTCGTTTAAATTTGGGAAAAGTACCGATTCAATTTGAAAAAAAGTAGAGATTCATTTTGGGAAAAGTATCGTATCGATTCAATTAGGGAAAAGTAGCGATTCACTTTGGAAAAAGTAGCGATTCAATTTGGAAAAAGTATCGATTCAATCTGGGAAAAATAGCGGTTCACTTTGGAAAAAGTATCGATTCTTTGTGGAAAAAGTATCGATTCATTTTGGGAAAAGTAGCGATTCTTTCAAGAAAAAGTATCGATTCATTTTGGGAAAAGTAGCAATTGAATTTGGGAAAAGTAGCAATTCACTTTGGAAAAAGTATCGATTCTTTGTGGAAAAAGTATCGATTCATTTTGAGAAAAGTAGCGATTCTTTTAAGAAAAAGTATCGATTCTTTTAAGAAAAAGTATCGATTCATTTTGGGAAAAGGAGCAATTCTTTTAAGAAAAAGTATTGATTCTTTTAAGAAAAAGTATCGATTCTTTTAAGAAAAAGTATCGATTCATCTTGAAAAAAGTATCGATTCATCTTGGTAAAAGTTTCGTTTAAATTTGGGAAAAGTAGCGATTCAATTTGAAAAAAAGTAGAGATTCATTTTGGGAAAAGTATCGTATCGATTCAATTAGGGAAAAGTAGCGATTCACTTTGGAAAAAGTAGCGATTCATTTTGGGAAAGGTATCGTATCGATTCAATTTGGGAAAAGTAGCGATTCACTTTGGAAAAAGTAGCGATTCATTTTGGGAAAAGTAGTGCTTCTTTTTAGGAAAGAATCGATTCATTTGGAAAAAGTAGCGCTTCTTTTTTGGAAAGTATCGATTAATTTGGAAAAAGTATCAATTCATTTGGAAAAAGTAGAGATTCATTTTAAGGAACATATCGATTCTATCGAAAAAGCAGCGATTCAAAAAAACTAAATCACACAAACACAAGACAATGGTTTTTGGAGTTTTAATACATTCTCTGTTTGTATATGTCAAAGAATAAGCACAACAATTATGAAACGAAATTACTATAAATCAGGTCGCAAACACAGAAGACATTGATTGGAGTGTGTAGCCCAATATTCAGATTAATATTAATATTGATTCTTGGTCCTTCTAAATCTTGGATATTTATTTACATCAGTGCAATGAACCATTAATAAGAACGCAGTGATAAACATGCAACGCTCACCATTGTATTTTATGCTATATAATAATAAACATGAAAATGTTTTTACTTTCTTTCATTCCGATAAGCAATTGTCCAAAAGGAAACCAACTGCAACATGCAGCTTCAAAATGAGCTGGAATAACAACAGAAATGGACGAAAACTATTTAGGGATAAATTTAACACATAAAACGACAATAGCAATAATGAGCAACAGTAAAATCAAGACGCATATCAGCACACACCAGCATTTCTTACTCAGACAGGATTCACTATGCACTGGCTGAGGTGTGTATGGCTGAGGTGTGTGTGGCTGAGGTGTGTGTGGCTGAGGTGTGTATGGCTGAGGTGTGAGTGACAGTCTTGCTGAGATTGAAGGAATATATGTGCTGGGCATGTCTATGGACACATCCTGAGAAGGATTGGGTTGATTTGTGCGGACGGGTCCTTTGAGGAATTCCTCACGGCTCAAACCTATAATGTCCTTCATGAGTTCAATGCTAATGCAGTAAGTGTGATTCTGGTCAAAATTCACCAGATCTGAGTGCTGTGTCACATAAATGCTGTCAAATCGGTTCCACCTTAAGTTAAATGAAACAATGATGCGATCTTTGTTGCTGTTGTCTGAATATCCTGTGTAATTCACAGTGACATATTCAGGCAGTGAGTCAGTGATGTGCAGGTTGCCCACCTCATAGTACGGGAGATAAGACTCAGGAAGAAGATTCTCCCTGTTATAGAATCGGTGGAAACCAAAAGCGCCATTTTTAGGGTTGCAGAGTGCAACTATACGACTGTTGAAATCAATCTGAACACATTCATGAGCAAACCACCACAGCAAGATCAGCCCGTGTCTGGGAGGAGGCCGACCGAACTTGGACTCTCTCAGATCAGACAAATTATTCAGAGTCCTCATCGTGTTCCTGCAATCCTGCTAGAAAGAAAACAGTGCACTTGTAATGCAATAAATGTTATAATATTATGTTTTTTTATATAAACTATACAATTACAGGGAAAACTGCTAAATGTAAAACCAAGAAGCAACAGAAATCAGTTCGACTTCATTTAATCAGTTAATTTCATCATGTCTGCAGAATTGGAACGCCTGTCATTGATAAAGTTCTGTAAATCCCCTTCTGTTGATCATTGATCACATGTTGATCACATGATAATTTGTTAAATATTTGGGGTAGTGGTGGTGGTGTTTTCAGCTACCAATAAGAGTGTCTCTGTTTAACAAATTTGAATGTATTTAGCAGATTTTCTCTCAAAAGCAGCACATTGACCAAGACCAAACAGCAGCCTCACACATATGTGGTTAATGGGGACTCTATATAGGCGTGAGGGTTTTTATACTGTACAAACTGTACATTCTCTCCCCTTACACTAACCCTACCCATAACAGAAAACTAATTAACATAAAAAACAAAAAACACAGTTTAGTATGTTTTTAAGCCAAAGGAAGTCTCCTCATAAACCACATTACGTTGTAATACCTGTCATAAGACACATTTGAGTTCCTCATAAACCACATATGCCAGGACGAGGGGAACGGCTAAACACTTTTACAGACACGGATTACTTACAAAGAACTGAGAAAAACTGATCCTCCCAAATGATTGGAGTGAGACGAAGGGTTAATCTGTAGTGCACTGATCTACCATTTCTGTAAAAGTAAACCGTTCAAAATCAATAAAACACACACAACTATATACACTGTATATAAAGTATATATTCAAAAATGATATACCATACCTTGTAGTGATACACCTTACTAGACCTTTGGCACTGACTGCCTCATTTATATGACATGACAACAGCGCATGTTTGCTGATGTCACTTAACTAGTAGTAACATAGAAACAGGAAGTACTCTAGAGGTTGTACGTGTTTACAATGTTGTACATGTTGATGAAAAGAAACTCACAATGCAGAAAGCGAAACCTATGCAGAAACACATTAGGGACTGTTCATGAGGGGATTTACATTAAAGCTACTTTATATTAAACTAATGTCTCACTCATATTCAGATTTCATATTACAGCTTTGCCTTCTGTCTCCCTCGATCTGAAATATTTATCTACATCATTGTAATAAATCATTAAGAGAATCAAGTGATAAACATGCAACGCTCAACACCATAGAATGATGAGCATTTATATTTAATATCATAGATTATATTCATTTAGCATCCAAATGGAGACAAGCTGCAATACAGAGCGTCATAATTCAAAACAAACAGCATAAAAACTATGGCTGTGTTTAAAATCACCACCTCATTCACTATTCGCTGCATTACTTCACTAATATGTAGACTATGTTGAAGGAGTGAATGAAAACGAGTGAGTTTGGATATTTGCACTGGAAGGGCTGCCGCTTTTGCAGTTTGTGCTTGCTGTTTAATAATAATAATATTAATTGAAACTTAGCAAACTGGCAGCTCCAGTAGTAATATGAAAAGATTAGTCATGGAAACTAGCATGTATAAACCTTAATTAAACAATTTAATAATCAATTAAAAAGCAACTTACACTTATGAGCCTATGATATTACGCTGTAGCCACATTGGACCAGCGGTTTGGGAAATGGACGGCTGGATGATTCGGCTGCGGGCGCCATTTGAAGAGTTGCCAAAAGCTCCATTTGCAGGATTGCATTTCTCCAATTGCATTTCAGAAAGCAATTATATGTCCATTGGAGTCAATCTGAACACATTCATGAGCAAACCACCACAACAAGATCAGACCGTGTCTGGGAGGAGGCCGACCAAACCTCGACTCTCTCTATATTATTCAATATTTGGGATATTTTGATGGGGTTTTCAGCTCAGCTCACAACTAACATAGCCTTTTAAAATCGATTCAGCAGACTTTCTTTCTTAAAATCAGCACAAAAAAGTTTGTTGGGTCCTAGACTATGACCGAAACACATCTGCAGACATTATTAAGAAAGTAGAAATATAAATATAAGAAATATAAGTAGAAAGATCACTGCATCAGTATAAGTCTGAACCTCTAAGAATCTTGTAGTGAGATGAACAGTTAATCTGAGATAGAGTCAAATTTTAAGTAAAACAAAGTCCAGATCGGATGTGCTATTACAGCTAATTTGATTCTGATTCATAATTTATCTTTTTAAATGAAAAAAAGGACTCTCAATAGGGACTCTCACCGTGTCTCTGATACTTCTGCATTTGAAAAAGATTGTTGTATCCAGCCTTGCATGTTGCAGCTTCCACAGAGTCAAGATGCTATATAGATGCTCCTGACCTGTTTTGTAACAGGAAAGTAATAATAATCAGATATGAGCGCATTAAATGAATCCACCCTGCCCTGCAGAAGTGATGGGAGCTCGTGTAATAATATCTTTTGAGGGTGGAGCAAAGATCTGCAAACAGAAACTGATGCTGCTCCATGCCAGATATTTGCATGAGCAGAAGAACTGACAGGCTAATGTGAGTTAAGTGGAAAAAGTTTGGTTTAATATTATTAGCATTTTAATTGTTGCTTCCCTTTTAACACTAAAATCATGTTTGTTCCATCAGAAATACTCAATAAAGAATGGAAATTCTGTTAACCAGCCCCAGTCTTATTTCAAACCAAGCCAGACAAATCACATATTTATGGAAGCTTGTTTCCGCCACTGAATAAAAAAAATAAAAATAATAATTGCGACCTTTTTATCTTACAATTGCGAGATATGAAGTCAGAATTGTTAGAAATAGTCGCAATTGCAAGATATGAAGTCAGAATTGTGAGAAATAGTCGCAATTGCGAGATATGAAGTCAGAATCGTGAGAAATAAAGTCGCAATTGCGAGATATAAAGTCAGAATCGTGAGAAATAAAGTCGCAATTGCGAGATATAAAGTCAGAATTGTGAGAAATAAAGTCGCAATTGTGAGATATAAAGTCAGAATTGTTAGAAATAGTCGCAATTGCGAGATATAAAGTCAGAATTGTTAGAAATAGTCGCAATTACGAGATATGAAGTCAGAATTGTGAGAAATAAAGTCGCAATTGTGAGATATAAAGTCGCAATTCTGAGAAATAGTCGCAATTACGAGATATAAAGTCGCAATTATGAGAAAAAAAAGACAGAATTGAGAATTTATATCTCACAATTCTGACTTTTTTTCTCACAATTGCAAGTTTACATCTCGCAATTCTGACTTTATAACACATAATTGCAAGTTTATTTTGCAAAATTCTGACATCTTTTCTCAGAATTGTGAGATATAAACTCGCAATTGCGAATTATCAGGCCAATTCTAAGGGAAAAAAAATACTTTTTCCCCCTCAGAATAGTTTATATCTCACAATTCTGACTTTACAACATGTAATTTCAACTTTATATCATGCATTTCTGACTTTATATCTCGCATTTCTGACTCTATAACACGCAATTGCGACTTTATATCAATCAATTCTGACTTTATATCTCACAATTCTGACTTTATAACACGCAATTGCGACTTTATTTCACGCAATTCTGACTTTACAACACGCAATTGCGATTTTATATCAATCCTGACTTTATATCTCGCAATTGCGACTTTATATCAATCAATTCTGACTTTATATCTCGCAATTCTGACTTTATATCTCGCAATTCTGACTTTATAACACGCAATTGCGACTTTATATCTCGCAATTCTGACTTTATAACCTGCAATTACGACTTTATATCAATCAATTCTGACTTTTATATCTCGCAATTCCGACATTATAACACGCAATGCGACTTTATATCTCGCAATTCTGACTTTATTCTGACTTTATAACAAGCAATTGCGACTATATCAATCAATTCTGACTTTATATCTCACAATTCTGACTTTATAACACGCAATTGCGACTTTATTTGTGTATGAAAATTGTGTATGAAATGTGCTATATAAATAAACTTGCCTTGCCTTATTTCACGTAATTCTGACTTTACAACACGCAATTGCGACTTTGTATCAATCAATTCTGACTTTATATCTCGCAATTGCGACTTTATATCAATCAATTCTGACTTTATATCTCGCAATTCTGACTTTATAACACGCAATTGCGACTTTATATCTCGCAATTCTGACTTTATAACCTGCAATTGCGACTTTATATCAATCAATTCTGACTTTATATCTCGCAATTCTGACTTTATAACACGCTGTTACGTTCCACGTGGGGTTTGTTTTGTTTTCACTAGTCTTATATTGGCCCTTTACCTGAGTGTTGTTCCATGGCTCACGAATATAGCCTACCTGCTGATACTCTAACTCATCATTTTTAAACATTATACTTTTTTGCGCTTAAAAATTAAATATGTGTAAGAGACTCATGCTAGGCTAATTTATAATATCAAATCTTTGATGGTGTAATTCTGTATTTAAATATATTAAAATGGCAATACTATAGCAATGCTATAGTATTTGGCAATACAGTTTTTTACAATCACTTTGTTACTATTTTCAGAACCTTGATGTCATTTTTTACAACTCTAGACACAAAACTCACAACCAATGATCAAAATGCACATTTTTCAAAACTCTAACCCTTTCCTCAATTGCTTGGATACAATACACATATTAAAACTTGCATTATTTGTTCATTCAACAAAAAACACCTGTTCAATATGACACAACTTAACATCAAAGTATTCAAACTATTCATTTCCTTACAATGATCTAACTATCAACTGATACAACTGATCAAAATTATAAGTAGGCTAACTGTTGCGTTACTCCTAATGCAGTTGTATGGAAACAGACACACAAAGTGCCTGGAGAAAAGGTAAGAAGCTCTTACAGTGGCAGACCATTTACTGGAAAACAAACACACAAACAAACAAACCCAAAAATCATGCAGATTTTACAGAAAAAACTGAGAGGTTACCAGAATAATTCAGTAAAAATACAGTAAAAATGTAAACGTATATAAAAGATAACGAGATTCATTGTCACCAATTAGCGTGGAGCATAAACCAATGGATGTACGTAATATTTAATATTTTTGCTTTGATTTCAATAAACCTGTGTTGTGATTGTACTGTAGTGTTTTGCATCAATATATTACACACTTTGGTCAGTGATTCCACTATGTCTGTATTCTCTCTACTTCTGCAGTGCTTTTACAGAAATGTGTTTACTGTACATGTAGACCATAATGAAACCTGGATCACCTATTTTGTTCTACAATATTTAATGATTGTACGAACAATGACACAGTGAAACTATCGGTTGCTTGTGTGTGGGTGATCTATAGTTGTGTAACATAGGGGCAGTCGGGATCAAGACGCGCGCGCCTTCGCGGGGAGCTCCCGGTTGATTTGCCATAATACAGAACTAAATAAATAACAACTCTGTGCTTATCATGATGCCCGATAAAGAGCGCTGTAGGTCCATTTCTTTTTATTTATTTATTTTATGTTACTTTTGTTGTGCGATTCCCCCAACAGGAAAAGTAAATCCCTCTACTGGACGCATCAGGAACAACAGGGTCCCAAAACTGCCGGGGCGTAAAACTGCCAGGGGCGTATATCTGCCGGCTCCAGGTCTGCAGCCTCCCCCTACTCGCCGATATAACCATTTTTCTCACAGATGCCATCCTATCCACAGCTCTCGTGGTAACGACTTGCACAGACAGACAACATCCCGATGTCAATGTTATTTGACGCTCAAGAAACGTAAAACACGGTGGCACAGTGATTAGTTATGAAATCTTACTACATAAATTCAATCTTATTTAATCCTCCATGTGAAAGTTTATCTGCTCGAATTATTTATATTTATTAAACAATAGTTAAAAACAAATCGTTTATACTGATTATTGTTGTCCATAAATCGAACTTCCATGCCTCTTATATAGTATATATTACTATGTACCAATTAATATAGGCTACTAATGCCCGGACACACTCGGTCTCTCTCGCGCGCACTAACACACTCGGTCTCTCTCGCGCGCACTAACACGCTCGGTCTTGCGCGCACTAACACACTCGGTCAGCAAAATATCTTCAATGTGTATCCCAGTGTGACGCTGTGGGGTCCTGTAATTCGACTCTCTCTGGGAAAGAGAACGACAGGTCAGTATGCCGCGGTATACACAATGCCCGTAGTGTTTATTTGTTAGATACACTAGGTTAGGAGTGAGCGCCACTCTGTGTATGTTTTGTTTTAGTAGTTAGCTTATTTAGGAGCCGAATGCACTGAAGATTTCGGTTTTCTTTTCACCTTTTTCTTTGGTTAGGTTTAGGGTTAGTATAAGGCTTGTTTTGTTATATTCTGTTCTTTTCTTTGGCGCCACTTTTTGGTTCTCTTTCCTATTATTTGATTATTGTAATATTTGTAAACATTGTAAATAGCGCACCCATTTATCATCCGAACTGGAACTAGTGGCTTCGGCTTTGTGACAATAAAATCCAGTTTGTTTCTCTTCAAGTTGAGTCTGTCATGGTTTCCTCTCCCCCGTATTCATCCATCAGCAGTAGGCTACTAATAAAACAAATGTTGCGTAACATCTCCTAGACTTTAAAAAGATCGTAACACACGCAATTGCGACTTTATATCTCGCAATTCTGACTTTATAACATGCAATTGCGACTTTAAATCTCGCAATTCTGACTTTATAACACGCAATTGTGACTTTATATCTCGCAATTCTGAGAAATAAAGTCAGAATTGCGAGATGTAAACTCGCAATTGTGAGGAAAAAAGTCAGAATTCTGAGATAAAAAGTCGCAATTACCTTTTTTATTTTTCATTCTGTGGCAGAAACAAGCTTCCATACATATTTAATAAAAACAAATTCAAGGAAATAAGGAATCAACTTTCTGAAACTTCGATTCAACTGAACCAATTGCTTCGCTAAATGAATCTTCGAGCTCTCGAAACTCCGCACGCCGACGACATCTGCTGGTTTCACTCATGTAAATGCATTCCAATCAACTTTGATAAAGTTAGATTATAAAAATGACTCGAGATTGTTTTACAATCACACGTTTAATACATTTAATAATACCATCCCATCCTCACACCACTAACATTTCAAAACAAAGAAGTCACGTGACTTGGGCGGGTACTTGATCCGATTCACTCACTCGATTCACTTATTCGATTCACACACTTGAAAGATTCATAAAGACACGATTTCCCCCACATCACACACCAATAAATATCTTAATCAGTTCAAGGTAAAAGATTATACAAATGTGTATATAATAATCACGAATAAAATAAGAGTAGTTTAATTACTCTTTATAGCCTATTTAAAGAATGGTACACCAGGAGTCGTTGTTAGGCGGCGGGTTATAATGACTCTGTGGTGTATGCCTAAATCCGACCTGTTCTCCAGGTGTATGCCTAAATCCGGCCTGTTCTCCAGGTGTATGCCTAAATCCGACCTGTTTTTCAGGAGTGCTGGAGAGCTGGGAGAGATACTGATCTCGACTCATGTTCTTGATGATCTGGAGGAGGCCCTGACTCACACGGAAGGTTTTGCTGCTGTCGAATGATTTCGGGTCGCTGTGTTCAGTCACATACACCCTGTTCAAGCTGCCATTGACGTCCAGACGCACAATAACCCGATCTTTGTTACTGTCAGGAATAGGATTATTGCGCCTGTAATTTGCCCTGACATAATCTGGGAGGTCGTCTGCTCCTGGAAAATTCAGGTTGCCCACTTCATAGTATAGGAGATTCTCCTGGGGCACAATGGGCACAATGGGATCCTCTTCATCAATTCTGTTGTGGTACTTGTGAAAGCCAAAGTCTCCCTTCTTAGGCTTGAACCTCAGGACAATTTCACCATAGTTAATAAAGCCTATGTATTCATGAGCAAACCAGTACAACAGATTCAGGCCATGTCTCGGTGGCCACGGCTGACCGAAGCCTGACTGTTTCAGCTGGGACAGTTCATTCAGTGTATCTTTCACCATGATGGAGGACTGTGTGAGAGAAAGAGCCAGTGATGAAATATTCAAAGATTTAAACTAATAGAAAAACATTAAAAAAATAAGGGATAAAAAAAAAAAAAAAAAATCTAAGTCTGTTTTTAAAGGGATAGTTCACTCAAAAATGAAAATGTTGTCATCATTTAGGCTACTCACCCTCTGATTGTTCCAAACCTGTATTAGTTTCTTGTTTGATGAACCATACTTTTTTTTTTTTTCATACTATGGAAGTCAATGGGGCCCATGAACTTTTGGGTGAACTATCCCTTTAAAAAATAGACTTGAAATGTTTTAATCTTTTTAAATCCAGTTAAAATCTATTTATCTTTTTGAAGGGAAAGTGCATTTTAGATGCATGATTTTTCAAACATTTTTATTTTCCAACCCCTTTTAATAAAAAAATGAAAAAATCATTTTAGTGGTGATGTTATGATCAGTGTGTGTAATGCATTAGAAAGAAATGCATTACTGTAATTTAATTATTTTTCCCTTGAAAAAGTCAAGTACTGGATTACTCTTCATTTTTCTATAATTTAATTAGTTACTTCTGATGTAATTGCATTGAATACTCTATAGACTAGAACAATTCTATATATTTGATTTAACATCAAAATTGAATGTCTAATGTTAAAACGTATATGTTTTTAATGTAACTTTCTCCCTTAAAATACTTTGGTCAGTTCAATAATAATGCATGCAATTTTACATTTTTTATTTCCAAGAAATAAAAGAGCAGTTTCATGTATTGTTCAACACTGAGGTTGATATGGGATTTAGAAATTAGTAACAAGTCATGCAATACTTTTTAGAGTGTACAGTAATCTAATTACACTACTGTAATTAGAAGCTAGTAATTACGTTTTTTAGAGTATAAAATATAAAAAGAAAATAATGTAATACAATTTAGTGTTTTTTACAATTCAATACAATGTACAATAAAATGATATAAACATGAACTCGTTTTTTATATATATTTTAGAATTTCTTTATATAAGGACAGTGAAAACATGTCAGCTACTGTACATATCCCATATTAACTAGCAGAAAATGTGAAAAGTCAATGTATAAAGGTTATTTTTCTGCAGTTGCTTCTGCTTCTCAAAGCATCCCCCTTAAACCAGAAGAGAAGCACATGGGTTTAAAATATGGACAACACAGATATCTGAACTTACCTTGTATGTGGTAAAGACGGATCCTCCAGGTTTCTTGCAGTGATCTGGTTCAGAGGAAGAGTCTGCAGTGCATTTTAAAATGATTCCTTCAGGACACGCCCCCCTTTGAAAAGTCAAGAGTTGGGAAATAGAAACTTAAGCTGTGTGCTAGTTTTCAGATAAATGATCAATGGAAAGTATGTACTAAAATAGTTGCTATTCTAGTACATACTTTCCATTGTTAATTTATCCGAAAACTAGTAGCCTACACAGCTTAAGTTTCTATTTCCCAACTCTGGACTTTTCAAAGGGGGGCGTGTCCTGAAGGAATCATTTTAAAATGCAGACACTCTTATTGTCTGTAAATATGTATATTAGTGCAAATGTACATAAATAAATAAATAAATAAAAACGTTTTATTTCCAAGATCCCACTCCTTGCATTAAACGTTTTTTTTTTGTTTTTTTTTTTATGTACATTTGCACTAATATACATATTTACAGACAATAAGAGTACACTATTGTAAACATCTCATGTCAGTGTTATTACTGTTAACTAAAACAAACTATTAAAACACAATTACTTTAATTGACGAATGCGTATGAAATTTAACATATAGCCTACATAAAAACATTAAAAAAAATGTACATTCAAAAAAGCAGTTAATTGCCAAGGCAAAATTTCTACAGTAATTTTGGCTTAAAAATACTAAAATTAATAAGACAAAATATGTACACGAAAACTGACAAAAACAATAAATTTACTCAAGTTTAAGCTATAACGAAAAAACTAATATGTCATGCATGTCTGCAGCTTTTTCCTAAAAAGATGATAAAAATTAAGTTAAAATCTAATTCAAAATATATTAATAAACACTTAATAGCACTAATAATAACTTGTGTGCATTGAGTTAAATGTTTTAAACTTTTTGTCAGCAGTAGTTATTAGGACCTAAAGAAATCAGTTAAATTGAACAGTGTAAATATGCCTTTTACCATGACACATTACATAGACAGTGTTGGGCAAGTGTATTTTACTCATTTACTGCTCTGATATGACATGAACAGATTAAAAATGTATTTACACTAATATGACTAGTTTGAGAGTAAAAACAAAACAAAAAACTAAAGGCATTGAACACACTTTGACCAATAATTTTCAAATACTTTTCCAGTCGCAATTAATATAAATTAATTTTATAGAGAATATGGGTGGAATTGCATTTGAATGTCTAGGCAGTTTTCCATTGGTACGGTACAAATCCCTATAATTCACTAATTTACAGAATAATACTTCTTAGTGTACACATTTCTCAAGACAAAATCTAATGAATATCTATCCATATTTAGCCAATGAAGTACTTTATAGCAAAAAAAACAAAACAAAATTCCAGGCCTGCATATCTCATGAGAGCCTGCTTCAGCTGCATATCTCGAGGAGGAAAACATGTGTTTTTCTGTAGAAAAGGGTGGCGCTCCTCCAGAGCAGAAATCAGGAAACCGAAACTTACTGGCATTCTTGATCGGCAAGAAAACTATGCAAAGGGTGACGCTTCATAATGACAGGCGTGACAGAATGTTGTGTGTTTGACCGTTTCCTTCTCAAACCAGCTTTTATTATCATCATCATCATCATCTGCACCATGACGACAGTCGAGAGCAATTCTGTGCCGTAACACACTGATCAGAGGCCAAGAGAGGGACAACACGGACAGGACAAAGAAGAACCAAACCTTCAGGAATGACAGTCAAAGGAAAACTAAATCAAATGATGACAGTTGTACAAATAAAAAGAGACTGCAAACAAAGAAAATAGAATCTGTAATTATTACAAACTCACATCGAAACTGCCGTTTTAACGGAATAGGACGATGATGGGATAGATGTACATATATATATATATAAAATTTCCATTAGTCTGGATCCATTCAAGGACAATGAGCGAACGAATCGTCTTCCCAATTCCCGTGTCAAGCAGACAAAAAAAAAACCATAGATAAAAAGTCTAAATAATTGTGTTGAACCCTCAAACTACATCAAAATTACCATCATAATTATAAATCTAGCTGTCAGTATCAGCATTAGAAGAATTGGTATTATTAGTATGAATATTTTACTTCATTATGTGATATATATATATACACAAATATCTGCAATGTTTTTTACATTGCTGTATTCTTGCTGTTTTCCCCCACATGTGTTTAAGTACACTTGAAAATAAAAAAGTTTATTTTTTGTTTCACTGGAATATACAACCCCAAATACGTTACTCATGATCACACACACACACACACACACACACACACACACACACACACACACACACACACACACACACAGTAGTTTGAGAGTTCTCCCTTGACCTCACATGCCCATTTGAAAACACTCTCACACACACACACGTTCACACGCCTCAGTTTGTGGACACCGTTTTCCTTCACCACGGACCCATAATGCATCTGTGAGCAGGCTGAAAGGGAGTCGCGTGCACATCATCACAGCGACCTGTCGGTTTCAGCAGCGCACCGTGGTCCTCTGGCTACACTCATGCTTTTCTTTTACACGGCTCTCCTAGAAACACCAGCACAATCCCTCGAGAGGATCCACAGATATCATAGAAACACACTCAGGGCAATTCATTTGTCAGTTTAAGTCATTTTAGCGGGTGTTAGTAAGAATATCAGAATGACGCCGACATCCCTCGGCTTCAAATGAGGACAATTCAAGTGTGATTGATTTCAAAGGAATAGTTCATGCACAAATGATGAGAATTGCCATCATCTACTCGCACTCGGGTCGCTCAAAAACCCATGTTTTGCGGACTTTTTCTGTAAAACAGTTCGTGGGCTGACTCAAACGCACCATAAAAGTGATGCATATGACTTATATTTCATTATGTCAAGTAATACGATAGCTTATTGTGAGGAAGAGACTGAAATTTACAATGATAATCTTCCCATGAGCCAAAGCTCCTTTAAAACCATGGTGCGATTTGATGGTCACCTCCCCCAAACGCCACGGGTTCTTGCGTCGCAATTAGTGTGCCAGTCGAAACTCCTCGCATCGTATAGATTCAGAAGACTCGGAACATACAGCTTCGCGAATCGCATTCATGATACTTTAATCATGTGTTTTTTTTGGTGCTTCACAAAAGAGCTGCCAAAACAAGGCTGCGAGTAAGCAATGACAGATCTTTCATATTTATGCCAACTAGTTCTTTAAAATCCACAAACCAAGGCGAGCTCTTAAACCACGTCTCTCACACAAGCAAATGAGCACTACAGCGCTTCTCTAAACTCACTCACACATTCACCAATTCACACACACACACGAGCAAACAGGCCTCATATCCCCGGGATGTTTAAGAAGGGTGACGTCCACAGCCTGAGGAAGACGTGTGGAGCGGGACAGGGATTCGGAAGGGTGTGTTTTTCTAATGCTAATCCATGAACCCTATGGTTTAATAATCCCGTGACCACGAGGAATCGAGAGCGACACACAGTGGATGGTGTTGGGAGAGCGTTCCCGAACCGTTTGGGTGTCCCTTATTGTCCACTGAGTACAGCACGGCTGGCGAAAGAGAGAACGTGTGTCTTGATGTACTACAATACGGAAAGAGAAGGGGGCAGCTGACTGAGCTTTCGTTCGTTTGTTTGTTTGTCTGGGCGAGGGGAGGGCGAGGGTGTTGTGGGGCATGTGCGTGATTGGGATCAGAAGATATCCGGGCAGGAGTCCCAGCTGCCCTGGTCCTTGGCCTCCCAATATCCCCCTGTGTAGATGTGCGTGGGCTCTCCTGTCGCGGGGTCGACGCGTCGCTCGAACCACATCGCCTTGTAGTTGTCCTGATGGCCGCCTGATCGAACACACGGACATACAAAAGCAAACAAACAGTCACTTAATTAAAGAACTGTTGAGTAACTTGCACCCTTTCCTACAGAACAGACGCCTATTAGAAACTATTTCAAATGTAGCTAGGAGGAGCTTACAAGACAAATGTTGAGTAAACTATCAGGTCTAAACACACACGATCACCTAAAATCTCTGATTCAACACATCTCGCACTCTACGGTCACACAACAGGAGCTAAGAAAAACACATGGTCAATAGAAGAGGAAAAAATAAAGCGAACAGGGAAACAAATAGTGGTAGAGTTTAGAGATGGGCGGTATGACCAACAATTTATGTCATTGTCCAAGTTATACAGTACAATTTGATATTATAGCAATTGTAGGATATATAACAACGTTTTTTTTTTTGATGGACATTGCACACAAAAACTTTACCAATTAATTGTACTTCATTATAGAAAAAAAAAACTATATATATACAGTATATACAGACACATACACACACACAATGTATTTTATTTATTTATGCACGTATAAATAAAATACACTGTGCGTGTATATATAAATATATATAGTTTTATAAAAAAAATTATAATATATTTTACATGTAATATTTGTCTATATACTGTATACATATGATTGAGTAAAGAAGATAGATTTTTTTTTTTTACTCAAATTTCTTATTAATTAAATACATTTTAATGTATAATTATTTTTAGATTTTTCCTCCGATTAATAAAAAAAAGTAATCTACAGATTAATCGATTATCAAAATAATTGTTAGTTGCAGCCTTAATATATATATAACTTTATTAACTTTTTATATTTTAAATATAATATTGGTCTATATATACACATATGGAATATATTTGTATAATTTAAAAAAATAAATAATATTACAATAATTATAAAATATAATATATATAAATAAAATTCTGTTATATATGCATAAATTAACAGTTATATGAATATAACTACATAATAATTACATAATATAACATTAATTACATTAACATCATATAATATTAATGTTTAACTAAAATATAAACAATTCAATAGTTTACATATATATACTGAATTATATTTTCTTTGGATATTGATTATTATTCATATTTTTTTAAAGGCCACATAGGTGTGCATATATTGGAAACAATCCACATGTTCACACTTGATGCGAGTGGCAAGATGTGCCAAAATTAAGCGGTTCAACAACTCCAGTGTCCGGCTCGATCACACTGCCCAGCTCTATTAGAGGTGAGAGATGGAGGGGCTGGAGGGGTTTTGGGTGGATGTTACTTGCTTTTGACCGGAGCTCCAAAAGGACCCTCCACTAGAGCGAGAAAGAGCAGAAAGTGAGACAGTGCTCACAAATGGTCAAAGTCTGACCACACGACTGCCATTTTACAATGTGTGTGAGATGATATGGGTGGGTGTGTCATGTGTGCTGTTTTATGAGATAATACAGTTTATCAGTGTATATAAACCTTGTGTTTGTAATAATTAAAAGGATCATTTGAATATATTAACATGGTTAACTGTGGTTCTTGTGTTGTTAGCAACAACAAAAAAAGGTTTTATTCTATGGGTCATGAAGAAATATTGAGAAGAACTAAACAATGAATGTTTTTGGTGCCAATTTAAAAAAAAAAAACATTTTAAAGAAGTGTTTGATCTGACCCGTTTAAACATGCAGCTCTAACAAATTGCGAACGATCAGCGTGAACTGTGTGGTACTTGCTTGAGTACGCCGGTGGATGCGAGCCGTGCAGTGTTTCAGCTGATGTTGAAGATGGAGGGATGCAGGCAAAGAGAAGAGGAGTGAGAGTCATGTTAGCATGCACCAGAGGAGTGAACTGAAGAAATGAAGATTAATGGGGAATGAACTTCCACACTGAATGTTGTTTCGGTCTATACTGCTGCAATTTATGCACTCACACTGCCCTCTAGTGGAAGTCAAATGTCTGCATCGTGGAACTGATTTCAAATGCTTGTTCAAAGACCTATTATCGGAGTGACTTTGTAACTTTTCAGACCTACACACTAAAGAACATTGAACATGTAATAAAGCATAATTTAAATATTCATGATGCAAGGAAAAAAATTCAAACAAAACTAAGCAATCGCACTAAGTGTGAAAACTAAGGCCTAAGCGACACTACGCAGCTATGGTTTGTGTTGATTCTGCTACTTGCTTGAGAGCGAAAGATCGGAGGAAGTTTCATCCATGTCAGCTGATGGAGGGATAGACAGATGGAAGATGAAGATGATTGGATGATAAACGTGGGAAACAGATTGATTAGGGAGAGGGATGGGATGGTACTTGCTTTTGTAAGTGGTCTCAGAGGGCTCACTGGCAATCTCGACTTCTTCAGCTGATCAGAGTTGAGAGACGAGCAGCCGAAAATTAAAAAAGGGGATGCAAATTAAGACAAAAACAAACAAAAAAAGAAAGAATACAATGAGTGAATGGCATAATGGAGGCGGGAAGTGCTCCTATTAAAGGAATAGTTCACTCAAAATAAAAATCCTGTCATCACTTACTCACCCTCATGTCGCTTCATACAGTATGACCTTTTCTTTTATACGTATAAGAGTACATTTTTAAAGAAAAAAGTATTAAAAAACTAGTCATTTTTCGCTAACAAAAACTTTTAATTTTTTATGTTAATTCAAATAAAATAACGCTAACTGAAAATGTAAAAAAAAAAAAAATAACTTATTGGTTGCAAGGCAACATTTCCATATTTCAGTATTTTAGTACAATTTGAAGTACGAAATTACAAATAATTTACTAAAATAACCAATTTACTAAATATAACTTAACTAAATAAAAATAACTAAAATGATCAAATAAAAAAACGTAAAAATAATTAAAAATAATAATAAAAAACGTACTAAAGTTTGCCTTGGCTTTTTGTTGGCTTGGCTTTTGCCTTGCTTAGTTGGGGACATTTAATATTCAATAATATTATTGATCTGCCTTACTTAAGGTGGACGTTGACGCAATTTTCTTTTAGAAACAAACTTTGTTGTATTATTTTCATGTTGTCACTGTGAAGCTGCTTTGATACAATCTGTATTGTAAAAAGCGCTATATAAATAAAGGTGACTTGACTTTACTAAAATGGAAAATAAAATATAAATAATCATTTTAAATAATATACAAAAATCTAAAACTAATTCAAAATATAAATACATGCAATAATAGTATATTATTGATACTAAAATAACACTGTTTGAAGCTCAACAGCGCGAGTCCCTTTCATTGATTATATGGAAAATCTCCACGCATGGAAGAAAGAAAAAGTCATACGTATTTGGAACAAGATGACAAAATATTCATCTTTAGGTGAACTACCACTTTAATAATATGCAAATAAGCACTATTACAGTGTGTGTTTGTGTGAGATGGGAGAAAATCCAGAAGACGACAATTTAAAAACAGGGAAAACGAAGTAGAACAGGAGTACTTGCTTTTTAGTGGCGAGTCAGATATTGAGTCCTCAATGAGAGCTTGAGGGAAAGACAGAGACAGTCACACGGGAGTGAACGAGAGACGCCGAGGCGGCGGAAGAAACGAGGAGAGACGTGTAGAAGGATAAATAAAAGGATACTTTACCCCCGTCTGCCGGCTCCTTGCCCTCTTCGGAAGGGCTGGCGGAGCAGTTGGCCTCTCGCTCTCTCTCTCGGCGGACGGTGCGCTGCTTCTCCTCCAGCCGCTGTTTCTCTGCGTTGGCCTCCTCCCAGCGGCCCTGCTCCATCAGACGCTGGTCCGGACGCCTCCTGCTGTCCGTGGGGGCAACGCCCTCCTCTGGCTCGTTCAACGTCAGCGCCAGTGTTGAGAAGTAGTACATGTTTTCAGCTCCATCCCTGCATTCACAGTAGAGAGAGAGAGAGAAGAAAATGGAGGAGGAAATTGAGAAATTTCAGCTGAATTCAAACTTGAGCATCATAAATCGATCCACTAAATATTAAGCCAAGGCTGCAACTACTCACGCATTATAATTAAGCAACGCCGATGTTACTTTGTAACATTCCTTGGAAGTCCAGCCATGTATTATAATTAATATTCGTTAAAGGAATAATGCGTGCTCAAAACTATTTAGGAGGATCTGTAGACCGAAATGCAATATAATATACATAACTATGTTTTCAGTGGTGAATAAAGACCTTATATAATGAAACGTAATGTTTTTGTTATTTTGCGCCGACATGTTTCTACAGGAGCCCTAAACAGACAAACGTGTTTCGTCACTATTGCTGTTCTTCATGCAAAGAAGCTAGCTAAAGTCACACAATGATGAACAAGTAACAATAATATTCACAAAAACATATCGTTTTACTGAATAATTAAGTAAACCTATTTTTTTTTTTTTATCTTGGTAAAGAAACCTCATTGCTTAACTGGCTACTCTCTGCTGTCTCAGACGACGACATCTTTTCCTGTCGGCCACAGTAACTTTTGCTGGTTGCAAATTGCAACCTCACCACTAGATGCCGCTAAAAATCACACACTGCACCTTTAAAGCAGCACTCAGTAAGAATTACGTTTTTGTCAAACAGCGACCCCTAGAGTCGCTGTGGAGTACTTGTACTGTCGTGAATAGCACTAACGCAGAGATGGCTCGCACTCACGGCCGGATCCCCTCCCCCTGTACACCGGTACCTGTTCAGTAGGATGGATGCTGTAACGAGTGGAAATAAGGTTTGGCCCCTTTAAGAGCTGCGCGCGCCCAACACCACATGTATACGGCGCCGGGTTATTTCTGTTTGATGCTCATTTTATCAGAATTTTATCAGATCTGTTTTTTTGCCGTAAAGCAATTCGTTACCTCGCGAGACCTGATATCACACGATACTTCCTAACACTCAGGCCGGCGGCTCGCCGGCCCAAAGTTGCAAGGGTGGTTTTGCGGCTCACAGGCACCAGGGGGGTGCGAGACGACCACCATTCAACACGAAATCAGTAATATAAACATTACAATGACTCCAAAGCTGTTCGGTTAAGGTAAAAAAGTTACTTAGTTCACCTTTAAGCACAACTGTCAGGCATAATGTTTATTACCGGTGAAAAAAAATTTAAGGTTAGTGTGAGACACAATAAAAGTGAATGGGGGCAATTTTTTATGGATTTTAGGGCAGAAAGGTACTTGTATAAAAGCATTTACATGCATGTAATCAAAAACTGTTTTCCTTTAAATTTGACTTTTATAATAATAATAATTCAAAGTATTTGTATTTTATTATTTAAAATGTTACTGTTGCAATTCTACTGTACTTTAAAATTACACAAGAGTCTTCATTTCTTATTTTCTAACTGTTATTTTCTGTTTTTGACAACAGATTTATAAACAATTCTCATTACAAATTTGTCCCGTTGCGTTTTCAAATGCACATAAGTGATCCAAGTTCACAGCGCTTACAGAGAAGAGTTTGGGTGGAGCAGAATTTCAGAAGCTTGTGCATTTCTGTCTGAATGCATTTTAAATTTATTTGAAAATTGATTTACAAATTTCATATGGGAAATATTTTTATTTAAACTTATATAAATAGATAAAAATCACATCCCTAATTATGTGTATATTATTTGAGCAGTCATTTTTAGGGTTTAAAGTTTAATGGCACAAAAGTGATTTCACACACTAAAATCCTGTTAACATTTCTTTTTACATCTTGTGGCTATACTTTTAAAAGCATTTAATGTTTATGAATTTGCACCATTCACTTCCATCATTAGTGCCTCACTTTTTGTTTGTTTTTTGTTTAAAGAAAAGTAGGGACAAATGCTGTTCAATGAGCTCAACAGAGTACTCTTTTAATTGCTTGTGTTTGGGAATGTCTTACGGCAGCGGCGTCTTCTTCCACAGCTCTTTGGCTTTGAGCGTCTGATAGACGGTTTTCTGTCGTCCTTCGGCACCGTTCTCCCCGCCTCTGCTGCTCTGCATCACACGAGAGTACTCCATCTTCTCGTCCCACGTCCCAGACAGAACGAAGTGCGCTTTCCCATCTTTATCCGTCACAACCCCCGTGACCTACAGAGAGAGGCATTGCACAAGAAGGAAGTGAAAGCAGACATAAATTAGAGAAGGAAAAAAAAAAACATGAAAATGTTACAGAGGGTGACGAATGAAAGGGGACAAAACTGACACGTCTGCATTCCGGGAGAACGAAGATGCTGACTCACCTTTCTGGCCACGTCTCTGGAGAAGTAGCTGTACGGGGCGAATTTGAGATGACAGCGGTCGCCTGTTCTGTGGTTCACAACGTCTATTTCTCCTGACTGAATCGAGAGACAGACACAACTGAGCTTATGTATGAAATGAAATGCCACACTATAGATATAGCAATTTAAGCGCAACATTTGTATAATAAAAATGTACATGCACAAAAAAAACAGGGTGGCCAGTGGCTGAAAATGATTGAAAATGAAAATCACGGACTGATGCTGAGAATATGACAATATATTATGCATTAATAAGTAGACTGTGTTCTCAACCTGATCTATCCAGAGTTTCCCGACGATTATATTGTGAACTGTGGTTGTGACTTTCTTCCAGCTGTAGTGATTGTTACTCTTCTCAAAGATGCAATGAATAGAGCCTGGAGAAACATACAAGCAATTCAAAATGAGCTCACCAACTCTTGCTTGAAGACATATATACAAGCATAAGACATTCAAATATCCATCTTTTCAAATGAACTTGTGTCCCAAATGGCACACTAAGCACTCAACCATGTAGTGTATACATTTTATATGGTTATTTTGTCATTCATCATCGGAGTCTGTTAGCCTCGGCATCATAATTAAACCTGCGATAGTTGAGTGCATGAAGTATCCAACATGCCACACTTCGTTTTTTCGGTTAATTAAGTGGATCATCCGGGGATTTAAAGTGCACTTTTTCTATTTGGTATTTTCAGTGTGAACATGGGGTGGGCGATATGCCCAATACAACAACAATAATTTCACGATAACGATATATATCACAATATAGTTATTTTTTCTTTAAATAAGGTTATTATTATATATATATATATAAAGAATGGTACTATTGAAATTTCATAATTTTCACCAATTTGAATATAATTTTTTTAAATAAAAAAAACACTCAAGCTTACTGAAGACAGGTAAACTGATCAAATAAGAACAAAGACACTAAGTACAAGCAACTGGAAAAAAACTACAATAGAACAAAAGGGGCTTTCGCACCGGAGGAACCTTTTCATAGTTCCTAGAACTATTGGCGGAAGTTCCCGTTTTTTGGCGCGTTCGCACCGCAGGAACTAGGAACGATTTTAGTTCTAGGAACTCCTTTTGGAGGAACTAATTTAGCTCCTACTTCAGAGTCGGGTCTAAACCAGCACTATAGGAACCATCCGTGACATTAGTGTTCGCTGATTGGCCGAACGCACGCGAAACACCAATACCCGCCAGATTATAGCCAATATATTTACTCCAGAAACTAACTCTACGAACTTGGAAAACAGTGATAGATGGGCCTCTCAACCTTTACGCTGAGGAGAAAATCCAACGTAACTTTGAGGGGACCAAGAGAAACATGATTATGTATTTCTGCTCGGCTAGCGACACTGGACATCAACCACACGGCATGCACTAATACCTTTTCATTACAGTCTACTTTCTATGTATGACAGTTCTATCTAATAATGTATTAGACAGGACAGTTAGACAGATCGTAAACTAATGAACACGGAGAATGCTAGCGCTGTGAGCTCAGGCTCTGGCATTCTCAGTGCCGTCAAAATAAAGGTCCACATCGCCGTCAAAATAAAGGTCCGCCTCGCCGTCAAAATGAAGGTCCGCCTCGCCGTCAAAATAAAGGTCCGCCTCGCCGTCAAAATAAAGGTCCACATCGCCGTCAAAATAAAGGTCCGCCTCGCCGTCAAAATAAAGGTCCACATCGCCGTCAAAATGAAGGTCCGCCTCGCCGTCAAAATGAAGGTCCGCCTCGCCGTCAAAATAAAGGTCCGCCTCGCCGTCAAAATAAAGGTCCCCATCGCCGTCAAAATGAAGGTCCGCCTCGCCGTCAAAATAAAGGTCCGCCTCGCCGTAAAAATAAAGGTCCACATCGCCGTCAAAATGAAGGTCCGCCTCGCCGTCAAAATGAAGGTCCGCCTCGCCGTCAAAATAAAGGTCCGCCTCGCCGTCAAAATAAAGGTCCGCCTCGCCGTCAAAATAAAGGTCCGCCTCGCCGTCAAAATGAAGGTCCGCCTCGCCGTCAAAATGAAGGTCCGCCTCGCCGTCAAAATGAAGGTCCGCCTCGCCGTCAAAATGAAGGTCCGCCTCGCCGTCAAAATGAAGGTCCGCCTCACCGTCAAAATAAAGGTCCGCCTCGCCGTCAAAATGAAGGTCCGCCTCGCCGTCAAAATGAAGGTCCGCCTCGCCGTCAAAATGAAGGTCCGCCTCGCCGTCAAAATGAAGGTCCGCCTCGCCGTCAAAATAAAGGTCCGCCTCGCCGTCAAAATAAAGGTCCGCCTCGCCCTCAAAATAAAGGTCCACATCGCCGTCAAAATAAAGGTCCGCCTCGCCGTCAAAATAAAGGTCCGCCTCGCCGTCAAAATAAAGGTCCGCCTCACCGTCAAAATAAAGGTCCGCCTCGCCGTCAAAATAAAGGTCCGCCTCGCCGTCAAAATAAAGGTCCGCCTCACCGTCAAAATGAAGGTCCGCCTCGCCGTCAAAATAAAGGTCCGCCTCGCCGTCAAAATGAAGGTCCGCCTCGCCGTCAAAATGAAGGTCCGCCTCGCCGTCAAAATGAAGGTCCGCCTCGCCGTCAAAATGAAGGTCCGCCTCGCCGTCAAAATAAAAGTCACAACAACAAGCGCGGCTTACGTCACTTCAAAGTTCCTACTGGCAGTGCGAATGCAACCAGGAAAACGTTCCTATGGGATCCATTAGTTCTCGGGGAACCACCCTGGTGGCTTAAGTGCCTTAAGTTTTTTTTGCATTGCACTTTCTGTATTATAATACGTTTGGTTTTAAGAAAAAGAACTAGTGAGAAAAACTCTTCCCTGTTAAATTAAAGCTGATATGCTACTTTAAAACTTGAACATGGTGATGAGGTCTAAAACAGCACAAATAGTTACCCAGGGGCATAATGGAGAGATATTTGCCCCTGAACTTGCTGGCCAGGGCAATCTCCTGTCTCAGGGTCCAGCCTCGCTCGGAGATTGCATGATGAGCCGCAGCCGGAGGGTGATGGCTTACCTGAAGTGAAAGACAGGAAGAAGAAGGGATTAGGTTTCAAACACAACTCGCTTCATTTCAATAAGCTCTTCCTCTAGGGTCTCAGGATATAATCAAAGGCTGATGTCCCCTCACCTGCTCACAGAGGGATCTGTAGCCGCTCTCCTGGGCACGGTCCAGCTCAAACGTCTCTCCCAGCAGAGGGTTGAAGGGTTTGCCCGTGCGGTGAACTGTAGTTGAGTATGAGGAAACGGTGAAAGCTGCCACGTAGCACATCTGCTCCAGAGAGTTATGGCACTTGGCCGCCCGGTCCAGCAGTTCGTAGTACTCGAGATCCTCTGAGAGACGCTGCAGCATGGACAGGGGCTCGTTGAAGTTCACCTGGGAAAAGGAGGATGCGTTAAAAGCACTGCCATAAATCTGGGCCGTTCGGGATTCTCATAAAGACAGCGATGAGCGTACAGGCATAGGGATTTTGGAGAGTTCTTTTCCGATACAGTTCTTCATGATGCTCCACAGATTGAGAGAGTAATTCGGTTTATCTGGGATTCGGGCCCGTCTCTTCATCATAGGCACCACCTCCTGGGACTGAGGAGACTCGGGATTGGATGCCACAGACTGCTCGTCTAGCTGTGAGAGATGGAAAAAAACGGTTCAAACATGAACTTCAGATGTCAAAGGCTACTTTTTCTCTACCTATTTTTATGCAAATTTTAGCATATTGCATTTTTAAAAAAAAAAGCTGGATGGAAACACCAAAATGCGCATAAATTCTAAAAATCTGCATTAAAAAAACGCATGCATTTGATTTTTTTTTATCCGATAAGACGTCGTGCATATACTACGATGGAAACACATTTACCGAATAAATCCATTAATGTGGAACAAAAAACTCACGCGACTTTGCCTCAAGAGAGGATGTGATTGGATAACTGGACTAACCAGTGGACCAATTTCATTGCACAGCATCTCAAATGTTGCCAAATGATTTAGTATAATTACCTGCCAGAACTGTCTCACATGATTGCGTTCCTAAACATCAGGCATCCGCCTCCGAACGCTAGATAACGTCTGCGCGCTCTGAGGTGCTACTCATTTATGACATACGAAAAAGGAGCCACAATGGCTTCCCTAATTGCAGCAACCTCCGTTTTTACTACAGATATTTTCCCCCAATTTCCCAGGAAGTGAAGATTTTTTTTCTGTTGAACACATGGGACGGAAATGGTGCTTTATTCGCAAATGTTTTATACGTTATTGCAATTTTGCGCATAAGTTAACATCTCAACTTTGGATGGAAACAGCTACTAGGTTTTTTTATATCTAGACTGCACATGAAATCGAATTTGGTTCACATACATAAACCCCATATATAAACATAACGCCTTACCGACGTCGTCCCGTCATCCATTCCCATCTCGCTACTGATTCCGCTGACATTGCTCCCAGATCTCCTGAGAGAAATGGAAAGAGGGTATGAGAGAGCCAGAGTGTGTGAGAGAGAGGAGGAAAGGGAAGGCATAGGACACACACTTAGGTCAAGTAACACTTATATGAGAAGCGAGTTAAGGGACAGATAGGGATGAGAGTAAACGACAGGAGCGGGGGAGTAAATAAAGACCTGTGATATTTGGGGTCTGCTGGAACGGTGATAAACTCTTGAACGTCCTCGCACGCGTCGAAGAATTCGTTCTCATCGTCCTCGTCACTGGCGTCGCCCTTTACTGGAGCTGAGCCTACAGGACGGATAATAAGTATAATATATTTAGGAAATCTCTAAGTCATATCCAAATGTATAGCTATTAGTGTTGAGAGTTTTCAGGATTTAATCTTTCTGGGTGATATATAAAATATTCAATACTGCAAGCTTACATTGATATGTTTAATTGTCTAATATGCATTTTAATCATTCCTAATTGTAAATTATTAAAATGTAAAAAATAAATACAAATTAAAAAAAAAAATTGATTCAATGACTCATTTGTATCGCCCAAACATTCAGTTATTAAAACGTTTTAGTAAAATACACTACCGTATCTTACCAAAAGATTGGTGACGGTGTCATTAAGATCTTTTTTTAAAAGGAATCTTTTATTGATTATGTCAAAGATTTGGATTTAACAGATGACAACGACTGAGATGTGTGGACACTGCAGTTCACTTCTGGACAATAATTTGTATCACCTGATTTGTACAACTCATTTTATTTTATATCTTTCATTTTAAAGAAAAGTGATGAATATTTGTAGACTGTTACATTGTACAGTGATGGCTTTCTGATGGGCATTGTGGTTGTTTGTCTTGCGTTTGTGTTTAACAAAACTTATTTAAATAATAATTTAAACTTATTAATAATAATAAATATTTAAAGTTAAAACTTAATAAATATATTCTGGCAAAAAAAAAAAAGGAATCAATATTTTGATTTACCAAGGATGTCTTAAATTGATCAAATGTGACAGTACAGACAGTAAAGATTTCTATTTCAAATAAATGCTGTTCTTTTGAACTTTCTATTCATCAAATAATAATATTGGAAAAAAATCAGTTTCCACAGAAATATGAAGCAGCACAACTGTTTTCAACATTGATAATCATCATAAATGTTTTTTGAGCATCAAATCATCATATTAGAGTGATTTCTGAAGGATCATGTGACACTGAAGACTGGAGTAATGATGCTGAAAATTCAGGTTTGATCACAGGAATAAATTACATTTTAAAAATCTATTTTAAATATATGTGTAACAATAATGTATTTATCATCAAATAAAAACAGCCTTGGTGAGGAGAAAAGAAACATCTGACCCCAAACGCCTGAGCGGCAGTGTATATTTAGGTAAATATTGCTGTTAATTACCATATAGTTCTATTTTTGTGCAAATAAATGAAAAAGATTAAATATTAATCTTCCACATGTTCATTTACTGAAAACCCTGTGTGTTGTGAGGCTAACTCAAACTGACTTGTGACTCAATCTGACTGATTCATTCAAAAGGATTTGCTCATAAGGGTCATTCGTTTTGGAGTCAGACATCACTAGTTGTCTTCTCATTGTTGTGTGCAACTAGTGAAGACAATGGAGTAGAAAGCTGTGTTTATATATTAGTCTCTATATTATTTCGTGGCACCCAGTCTTTCTGTGTCGTTGACTCTGTACCTTTGTTGTCTATGGCAGGGTTGCTCTGGGAAGGAGGCAGAACAGTCGCTCCTCTGAAGGCTCTCTCCAGATGGTTGTGTTGTTTGGCGAGCTGCTCCAGTGTTTCCTCCAGTCGGACTCTCTGCTCTCTCTCGGCCTGCAGGGCTTTCTGCCAACGCTTGCTGTGAGCCTGAGCCAATGATAGGAAGTCCCGGCAGGCCTGGGTATCAGATTGTTATAGAATCGTTAAGAATACTGTAAAGTATGGACTAGTGGTTCTTTTTAGGATGGGAACACTACAGAAAGATTCCGGCCAGAGAATCCTTTATCATCTTTATTTCCAAGATCAGGATGCCAATATACAAGTTCGTATAATTGAGTGTATGTGGTCTAAACAGAGAGAAAGAAAAAGAAATAATACAATGGTAATAATAACCGATTAATAAACAAATAAAGGAATACTATACTATGCTCATTGTCATCATTCACAACGGTACAGTACAGAAAATAATCATTAACATTAATCCAGTGTAACAGAATATGTCACCATATGCCTTTAATATCTGTACTGATGCACCTTTAAGTGGCTATGCAGAATGACACTATATCACTATAACACTCGATGCAGATAGCACCAAATAAACAGTATAAATACACTGCACTCGAACGCAGAAGCATATTTCTAAATAACTAACACAAATAAGGTCTAAATTGACATATAGAGGGCTAATTATTTCACACAGGAAACATGTCGAATATTACAGCACGCTCTGGTATCATGACTACACTAATTAGTCACGCAGTTCAACAAATAAAACTAGTTCGCATGAACATACATAAATTTCACAACATTCCTTACAACGCAGTATAAACATACAACAATAGTAGGAACTTACTTGTTTTTCATAAAACGCACACAAACGTAAAGAAAGGGGTCTCTGAGTCTCCTCTCATCATCACTGAGCGCGAACAACTGAGGCGCGCGCGTTGGATTTTCTATCCAGGCGCAGTTCACGTGATGGAGCGTTCGAACGCACTTAGGAAACCTCAGCGCTGAACAAATAGGCTTTCAGACAAAGCCGCCCCCAACTGTCCGCATGGCAGTTGAAAGAGTAGGAGAAAGTCTATTTGGTCGTCTCTTCTTCGTCCTTGTCCTCCAGAGCTGGGAGCAGGATGATCCGGGCGACTGGACGAATGTAGGTACGGTCCTTCACTTGAACACTGATAGTCCGTACGCGTCCATCTGCTCCTGGATGAGTCTGGGTAATCCGTCCTACGGGCCATGACGCTCGAGGAAGTTGGGGATCCACGATTAAAACAACATCGCCTATGGAGAGTGGCTTACTGTCTTTCCTCCACTTACTGCGCTCTTGTAGCCCTGGTAGGTAGTGGCTGATGAAGGATGACCAGAAGCGATCGGCAATGACTTGACTGTGCCTCCAACGTCTTCTCCCGAGGTCACTGGGGTCGTAAACTGCTTGAGGAAGCGACGAGTCGTGACGGCCCATGAGGAGGAGGTTAGGCGTGACCGGGTCTGGATCAGAAGCATCTGATGCCAAGTAGCCTAAGGGTTTCGCATTCATTATGCCCTCGACTTCCACTAGAATTGTCATCAGGACAGGTTCAGGAACAGTCTGATTTTTGAGGACAACGCGAAGTGCAGTCTTGATAGACTTCACTTCCCTCTCCCATGTGCCACCAAAGTGTGGCGCACTTGGAGGATTGAATCGGAAGGATATCTGCTGTTCAGCGAGTTGTTCTTTCCACTGAGGTGCCATGGCAGCAACGGCTTCACGCAACTCTCTCTCTCCACCGACAAAGTTGGTACCATTGTCCATGAGGAGTTCGAACGGTCTGCCACGTCGAGAGATGAATCTTCTCAGTGACAGCAGGAAAGCATCTGTATCGAGGCTTTCTAATAGATCCAGATGCACCGAGCGGGTTGTCATACATTTGTAGACAATGCCCCACCTTTTTTCGGTGCGACGCCCGATCCTCACTTGGAAAGGTCCGAAACAATCAACTCCGGTTGAATAGAACGGTGGCTTATGGAGTCGTAACCGAGCTGGTGGATAATCTGCCATCTTCGGTACGTCAGGTTTTGCTCTCCATCGTCGGCACTCCAGACATGAATGCTGATACTTTCGAATGGCCTCTCTACCACGGATAATCCAAAACCTGCGTCTGATCTCGGCAAGAACCCGCTCTGGTCCAGGGTGCAGTAGTGACTCATCAAAATCCTTGATGATAAGCTTTGTCACCTGATGGCTTGGGTCCAGGATAACTGGGTGGATGGTATCCAGGTCTAGTCCTTCAGCATGCCTTAACCTGCCACCAACTTTGAGTAGCTCCGTGGCTCCTTCATATTCTGGTGACAGAGATGCGAGACGACTGTCTGAAGGAAGAGTACGTCCAGCTTTGAGAGCTCTCAATTCTTCAGCAAAGCAGTCCTCTTGAGCCTTTTGTAACATTAGCTTCTCTGCTTGCAGAAAATCGGCAGCGGAAAAGTGTACTGTAGTATTAGCATCAGCCGCCCCGTGAAAGGAGCTGGCAGTTTCCTTAAGAAGCTCTTTCCAGTTGGAGAACTTACTGGGGTCCGGAAGTTGTGTGGCCAAGATGCTGGACACAGTTCCCACAAAGGCAGACTTCCTAAACTCTGTGGTGTCTGGTTCTAGCTCAAATGAGGGCATGTGGGGCCACTCCCTTTCAGACAAATGGAGAAAATGTGGACCTTTTTTCCAGCGATGATCCTGTACCATCTCTTGCAGAGTGAGTCCACGGGTTATATCATCAGCTGGATTACTTAGAGTGTCAACATACCGCCATTGAACAGGGTTGGTCAGGTTCTGGATTTCCGCGATACGTGTTCCCACAAACACTTTGTAACGGCAGGATTCTGATTTGATCCAGTGCAGCACAGTTGTGGAGTCTGACCAAAGAGTGATGTGCTCAGATGGTACTGCAAGCTCTGTCTCGATCACTCTAGCCAACTGTGCGCCTGTAAGTGCGGCACTGAGCTCGAGCCGCGGAATAGACAGCTGCTTACGGGGTGCGACTCTCGATCTAGCAAACACGAAGGAAACATAGACTTGCTGACTGTCATCTGTCGTCTGCATGTAGGCTACTGATCCATAGGCGCGCTCCGAGGCATCACAGAAAATGTGAATGTGACGGGTTGCGTTGGCAGTATCGGCGATGGCTGGTGCATATGGACGAGGCAGCTTGAGATGTTGCAAAGTGGGAATTTCCTGCACCCAACTTGACCATTTCTCCAGAAGGTCAGCGGGTTGGATCTTGCCGTCCCAGCCAATATTGGCCTTCCACATATCCTGAACAAGCACTTTACATCTTGTTGTGAATGGCACAATGTATCCCAATGGGTCGTAAAGCTTGGCAAGGACACTGTAGACGTTACGCAGAGTAGCGTCTGAAGATTCAGCCTGGCGATGTTTGTAACTCAGGGTATCATTCAAACAATCCCAGCAGAGTCCAAGCGTGGGCTCTTGAAGGTTGTCACTGGCCTTGGATAGCCATAGCTCACTGCTAGCTGACTGCGGTTCAGGAGGTAGATGTGCTACAACTTCAGGCATGTTACTAGCCCATTGCCGGATCTCGAAACCTCCTTTGTTCAGAAGCGCTCGCAGATCATCGACTAGAACCTTCGCATACTCAGTTTTACTCACACTGTGGAGGCAATTGTCGACATAGAACGAGTGCTCGATCACATGCATGAGAGGAGAATCTGGTGGTTCGTGATCTCTGACGTGCTGCTGCAGGGCAAAGACTGCACAACAGGGGCTGCACGTTGTTCCGAATGGTAACACCTCCCATTGGAATATGCGTGGTTCAGATGTCCTCTGCATGTCACGCCACAGGAATCGCAGAAGTGGTTTATCACTGGGCAACAAGCGGATCTGATGGAACATCGACTTAATATCTCCGCTGATGGCCACAGCATGACATCGGAACCGCATCAGGACTCCAATCATGGTCGGACCGAGAGTTGGTCCCGGCAAGAGTTGGTCATTCAGGGACAGGCCTTTATAGGAAAAGGAACAGTTAAAGACTACTCTGTCCTTGCCATTGTGGTGCACCATATGGTGAGGTACATACCACGACTCTATAGACTTTGCTGCTTCTTCTGTTAAGATTTCCGCGACATAGCCGGACTGAACAAGTTTATCCATCTCCTTGCAGTATGAGGCTGCTCGAACGGTGTCCTTAGCCAACCGGCGCTCAGTGCTGCGTAGGTTTTGCATCACTGCATCTTGCTGAGCACAGAGTTGGATGAATGGCTGACGACGCAACAGTGGAGTAGCGTAGCGCTGGGTACCGTCGACCGATACACGTTCGGAGGCTGTCTGTAAGAGGATGAGTGCCTGCTGGTCTTGCTTGGAATGCGTTGCAGTCTTCTCACTGACATAGGGGACTGTGTCAATATGCCAAAGACGTTCCATATTTCTGAGGAGTTCAGAATACGAAGACTCGGTGGCGATGTGCAGACAGGAAGACTGGTGAGAAGAGACTGGCATAATGTCAAAAGGACCTTGCAAGGACCAGCCTAGCCTTGTGCATATGGCTACAGGACCGCCAGATGGGCCTGCTCTGACTGGCTGTGTAGGAGTAAGAAGCTGAGGCATATCAGAACCAATGAGGAGCAGAGGTTGAGCTCTGTGGATAGGCGTCAAAGGAAGTCCTTTGAGATACTCATAGCGCTTCTGGAGAGCTGCTAATGGGTACGTGTGCTCAGATAAACTCAAACTGCTTGCTGTGAAAGCATGTGGAATCCAAAACTTCTTGTTTGGCTTGAAGATGGGGGAAACATGAAAGCTAACTGAAGAACCTTTCAGCTCCTTCACCTCTTGCTGTACTGTCCTCAGATGAAGCGTCTCTGGATGCTGAGAGAGTTGTAGCTGCTCTACAGCTTGTGGAAGGATAATAGTTCTCTCCGAACCATCATCGAGCACTGCAAATACCTCAAGAATGCGATCTGCATGATGCAGAAGCACTTTGACAACCTTCAGCAACACTCTCTGAGGGCTTCTGGGCTGCTCAATGTAGACAATGGGCTTCGGATTACTGACCATCAGCACTTTCTGGGATGACTCTTGGATAACATCATGCAGGACTGTAAGGTGTTTCTCTTTGCAAAGCTTACATGGGCGTTTAAGCGTGCAGGCTGTAGCTTTGTGGCCGCGGCCGCATTTCCAACATCTGTCGCCTTCCTGAATCCACTTCTTAATCTCAGCTGTAGTCAGTTTCTTGAAGTCGGAGCATGAGTTAAGGTAGTGCTCCTTATTATTGCAAAACGGACAATAAGGACTGAGTTTGAAAGCTTGGGACTTCGAATGGAAAGTCTCCTTGTCGGCTGCCTCCCCAGAGCAGAGGAAGACTGACGCTGTTTTATCTTTGGGCTTTGGACTACGTTGATCTCTCTTTGGAAAGGTAGGCCCTGTAGAGTTATAGAGAAGAGTAGCCCGACTGGCGAGACGCTTGGCTTGAGCCTTCATCTGTAGCCACGCAGCGAGATCGGGCAGGGAGTAGGTGAGCTCTGAACCCGGCTGCAGGATTCCGCGAACGAGACAATATTCCACAAATCCATCTCTGTAGGAAGGAGACATTTTGCTTAAGAGACGGTCAACATGGGAACCACACTTGAGCTCGTATCCCACAGGTCCCTCTAAAGTGCGTAGCATACCGACAAGCGACTGGACCGAGAGGGCAAAGGAGTCGAATGCCTCTGCGTCTCCTGACTTAATGGCTGGGGAATTGAGGATTGCCCCTAGTTCACTTTGAACCAGTTGTCTTGGCTGGCCATATTTATCTTGCAGAGCCCCCAATGCAGCTGTATACGGTGCGGGGTCATACATGTATGATTTGGCCAACTGCAGAGCACTCTGAAGCTTGAGCTGACCCAGAAGAACTTGATATTTATAGTGCTCGCTGAGATGAGGGTGACTATTCATCAAGTTGTCAAGCGCCATCTTCAAAAGTGCAAAATCACTTTCTTTGCCACTCTCGAAGAAGGGAAGTGTCGGTTTGGGAATGCCATAAGATGTAGCAATCAAGGTCTCCATACCCGGGTAGGTCCAGGGTGGTGCCGTCTGAACTGGTGATGCGGTTGGTATACTGCGGTGAGGGTACTGCACTGCAGAAGGTGGCGGTGCCACTGTAACTGCTCGTGGTGGCATTGTGAAACTTGTACTGGCAGCTGAAGCCCCTAGGTGCTGAGACGGGAGACCAGTTGTGACAGAAGACATTGTCATCGGTAACGCTCCACCTGCCTGAGTAGTTACCGTGGAGAGGCTGGGAACGAATGAGACAGGTCCAGATGGAAGTACAGAGACTGGTACTGCAATCGGTGCTGCACTGACAGGAACACTGATCTGGGCACTTGTGACGGGATTAGTAGATGGTGCTAATATCTGATTAGGAACAGTGGAGAAAGGTGCTACCTGAACTGGCGCTAGATTTGGCTGTTGCACAGGTGGGTGCTGTATGGGAACCGATGGCACCAGAGGTGGCTGTTGAGTCAATGGTGATGACAGACGTAACTTGGAGAACGTAGCAGGAGCTGACGACGTAGACAAAGAATCATCGTTCGTCCCTGTCAGGTAGGTCTTTACAAGACTGGCAATGTGCACCTCCTTCTCGAGTTTCTTCAAGCGCCTGCGTCTCCCCATTTCTCTAGCTATTCTCTCTTTAGCCAGATGTGCTTCCTCTTGTAGCCGCTGTCCTTCTCTAGCTTGTGCATCCAATGCTGCAGCTTCTAAGTCAGCTTTCCTTTCTTCTTCTATTTCCTGTTGTAGATCAGCTAGCTCCAATCCTTTGATCTCCTCCTCTAAAGCAGCTTCTTGTATATCAGACGTACTTCGAAACAGATGGAGTCCGTAAGATAACTGAGAGGACCGTCGTGAATGTGTAGCTGACCGGTAACTTGTCAAACTCCTAGCCCTGGTTGACTGAGCCTGGTCTGGTTGTCCAACAGGGGTAGAGGAGGCTTGGACCACAGGCTGTTGAGAGGGCAGCAAAGTGACTTCGTACTGGGCCAAATGTGCAGGTGGACGAGGTTCTCTCTTAGGTCGGTCCGATGACTCCTGCTGCTGACCATCAGTTGATGACTCCATAGTGTCGAGGAAACCCTATATCCGGCTCGAAGGACCAATGTAAAGTATGGACTAGTGGTTCTTTTTAGGATGGGAACACTACAGAAAGATTCCGGCCAGAGAATCCTTTATCATCTTTATTTCCAAGATCAGGATGCCAATATACAAGTTCGTATAATTGAGTGTATGTGGTCTAAACAGAGAGAAAGAAAAAGAAATAATACAATGGTAATAATAACCGATTAATAAACAAATAAAGGAATACTATACTATGCTCATTGTCATCATTCACAACGGTACAGTACAGAAAATAATCATTAACATTAATCCAGTGTAACAGAATATGTCACCATATGCCTTTAATATCTGTACTGATGCACCTTTAAGTGGCTATGCAGAATGACACTATATCACTATAACACTCGATGCAGATAGCACCAAATAAACAGTATAAATACACTGCACTCGAACGCAGAAGCATATTTCTAAATAACTAACACAAATAAGGTCTAAATTGACATATAGAGGGCTAATTATTTCACACAGGAAACATGTCGAATATTACAGCACGCTCTGGTATCATGACTACACTAATTAGTCACGCAGTTCAACAAATAAAACTAGTTCGCATGAACATACATAAATTTCACAACATTCCTTACAACGCAGTATAAACATACAACAATAGTAGGAACTTACTTGTTTTTCATAAAACGCACACAAACGTAAAGAAAGGGGTCTCTGAGTCTCCTCTCATCATCACTGAGCGCGAACAACTGAGGCGCGCGCGTTGGATTTTCTATCCAGGCGCAGTTCACGTGATGGAGCGTTCGAACGCACTTAGGAAACCTCAGCGCTGAACAAATAGGCTTTCAGACAAATACGTTTAACAGAGTGGTTTCTGTGTGTGAAACGGATAACCACAAAGCAAATTCCCCAAAGCAAATATACTGCCTGGTTGCCTTACGTTGATCATGGCGTTGGAAGTGATGCGGAAGAGCGTGGCTCGCTCCGTCACCTGCCGAATCTTTTCACTCGTCTGTCCTTCCAACCGAACGCCCTCCAGCTCAGACAAGGACCTGAAAGAAAACATAAGAATCAACTAATTGAACGTCACATAGACACTTTGAGCACAAAGGCCAAATCTTTGAGTGAAAAAAAGAATAATTTATGTACAATTACAAAAAAGTTAATTAAAATTATTACTGGAATATAAAATTTAAAACTAGCCACTCAGCATTTTCCCTGGCCACAATTTTGACATTGATACCATGGGGAAAAACTGCCATATAGATATTTTTAATATTATCTCATAATTTGGCAGCAGGAATATTAGGCTGCTGTCACTTTAAGACCTGATGCACGGATCCATTAAACTGTTACACATGTTTTCTTTCTCAACTGTCAACGTTTACTTAAACCATAACTGACTGTGTTTATGTGAATACTCGCCAAGACAAGACCAGCATTTTGACAATATTTTGTGTGTATTTGACTGTTTAACACAATAAGCAGCAAAAAATAACTATTTAGTACTAAGAGGCGTCTTTATGTGCCGCACTTTGGGTGTGAGTAATGAGTAAAATTATGCGCAATACACACATTCCCACGCCGAAATTCAAGCCCCGTAACACCAACAATATTCATCCGGAGCACATGAAACGAGTGAGTGAAGGGAGGCGGGTTTGTGTGTAACTCGCTGTCAGAGAGATCATGAGAGAGCGAGAAAGCGCAGCTGGTGCCGTGCATCTATTCTGCAGAAAATTAGTATTTCATATGCATCTAAAAATCACTTAGTTTATTATTTCAGATTCCTTTTTAAGACTACATTGAAAAATGTACATACACTATGTATAAAATCCAACTTTTATTCATATATATATTAGGGCTGTCAGTTAAACGCGTTATTAACGGCGTTAACGCAAACCCATTTTAACGGCGTTTTTTATTGCGCAATTAACGGTCTTTTTGGCCTAGCAAACTTTGTAGTTTTTTTCACATGCTTTTGCAACAGGACGCGGCAGCTATGAAACTCATTCATTTCAATGGCTTGAACGTTTTGTTGCTTCGTCGACCAAAGCGCAAGCGGATCTAGCTAGACCGCAAACAAAACAACAGGCACGCCGCACACACTTGTTTGGGCTTGCAAGCCGGCCATATAGTTGGTTAACGTTACGTTTTGAGTGGATGACGAGCGCGAAACACCGAAATGGATGCCAATAAGATTCTGAATGGAAAGTTTACTTTTAAAAAGTTGCCAAATGGTTCCATTGACAAGACCAAAGTGATCTGTGTGTTTTGTCGTTGTGAACTGAGCTATCATCATCGCAGCACGTCCAGTCTGAAATACCACTTGATGATGGCCAAGCACACACACACACACACACACACACACACAGCTGATGCGAATTCTCCGCCCCCTCGTCAATATCAGGACCTCGTCAGTATTTATTTCACCCTTTTATTGATGGACAGTGTTACATTGTGTGAGAGATTATTTGCTCCTAGTGAGAATGTTAGTGTGAAATTGAACACTGTATATGCCAATGTTGTTTTCAATAAAAAACATTTGCACAAAGCAAGCCGATCCACTTTTCCATGTTGATAAGAGCATTAAAATGAGAAAAAAGAATGGGACAAAAAGAAATCAAGAGACATTTAGAATAGATAAAAATGTGCGATTAATCGCGAGTTAACTATGACATTAATACGATTAATCGGCACTAATATATATATAACATATGTCAATGTATTTTTTTTTATTATTTATATACTTATTATGTACTTGAATAATAGTCAAGTGTGTCCAAACTGGTAGAGAAAGACTGACCGCTGAAGCGCAGAGCCGTGTTTGGCGATGAGGTCGTTGCATGTGCTCAGATCCTCCACTTTGCTGCTCAGGGTCCGGAGCGTGGACTGCACCTCTGAGTTTCGTGAGCCTCCACCCTGTCCTGCCGCAGGAGGACTGGACTCGTCCCCGGAATCATCTGCAGAGAATGATGAAGAAGAAGAAGAAGAAGAAACTGTGAAACGCCTTCCACCGCAAACTGTATTGAGTGTGCAGTGTTGAGCTAATCTCAAATGTGGTTTCCCGTTCCTTTCCCAGTGTTAGTGATGGGCGTGACTGACCTGATTCGGCCTGCATGCGGAAAGCTTTGGCTTTGGCCAGCTCCAGTGCTGTGATCCACCGCTGCCGCTCCACCTCTGAGCTGGCCTTCAGGTGATACGTCTGCGTGCCGCCATTAGAGATGACGAAATTGCACGAGTCCTCCACCGCGATATTGGCTGTGGCCAGGTTAATGGTGCCCCGACACGTGTGACCCATCTCCGCCTGGGTCCTGGAAGAGCAAGAGGGATGGACATGAGATGTTGTGTTCAAGATGAAACACTTCATTTGGTCATAGTATATACAATTTTACATGTAAAAATGGTTTACATGATGCTAGAATAAGACTAAATGTGTTTCCGACATGATAACGATACTCAAAAGTCTGGTTCTGCGAGGTTAGAGGATAATTCATGAGGCTCTTTTAAAACTCTGCCAGCAAAAACTTGAACAAAAGCCCCCTGACAGCTGTTTTTCGGCATCTGATGTAATATTCATGAATCAGCACCGAAAGGTAAGCATTCGAGAAATGGCTTCAGCTAGAGTTTCTTTTACTCCCGAGCGTTTATGTGACAGAAGATACGTTACCGCTGTTATCGCAGTATCTGATATCAGATTGAAAAAAAGCTCCATGTTATGATCTTAGCAAATATTCGGAAAAATTTGAGACATGAATCAATCCAACCAGCTCCAAGACAACAAATCAAATGAGAAACAACAGTACAATATAAAACTACGTACTGTCAGTCATTGATTACAAATACAAAACTCTATACATTACACGTGTCTTGCAAAATATTCAATAAACTAAATTCATATTCATAATGAGATAAGTTGTTTGAGACTGAAAATATACAAATAAAAGCCAATTCAAAGCTGTAATAAACACTATAATAGTATACAAGTAATCCTAAAATAACACTGTTGTAGTAATCCTGGTAAGCCGCTCATATGTAAACAGCACCAAATATATGACATATAAATAAAGTTTCCATCTTTAACTGTAATTTGCCAACACTGATGAATCCTCAGTTCTCAGGATTTTCCATGCTCAGCAGGAAAAAATGAGACAAGACCAGTTTGGACGGTCCACGACATGGCACAAGACCGATGCCAGGCGATTTAACAGAGGCACAAGAGTCAGAGCCTGTAACCTGTGAAACTGAAATCTCTTACTCGCCCTGTACATTTCCTGATCTCTTTATCTCTCTCTCTCTCACACACACACACACACAATAAGAAACTGTTGAGAGCTGCCTGCAGGAGCAGAGGAAGTGCTGAAATCAAGCCTTAAGTAGAGCGTGTGATCCTCCTAAACAGAGATGACCTGTTAAGACGGTCATGTGACCCAAACTCACTCAGCCAATCAAAGTGGTCATGTGGAGGTGGAAAAGACAATGTGCACTTGAGCCTTTTATTTACACTGTAATGCTACAGTCAGACTTTCCACACGTTGACTCATGGTGATTAATGTATTTAAGAGTCGTTTAGTCGTTGCAAATCACAAACAACAATTTCTAGCTGAATACAATTTTTAGAGTAGTCCATGCAAAGCTATAAAAATGTATATTCACTATAGAAATCAGAACCTGATGTTGGAGACAGTGCTTAATAATGCCCTAAAATAAATTATTTTGGTAACTGTATTACACCAAATGATTGGGAAGTTTCCACTATATTTTGAAAGCAAAGTTATGTTGTTCAAATATTTTATATTTTATGACATCACACAGTATGTAATGCGCTTTTGGGTGTATCAAAAAAACATCTGCTATATTAGGGAAGGAAAATATTTAGGTTCTTTTTGAACGACGGACAAAATCAGTTTCAATTTAAATTCAGTATTTAAATCCGATGCACATGTGACAGATTGTGTGACGAACATTTAAATTCATCATTTCTAAAGAGTGCAAAATGCTCTTTAACTGCTTTAATACACATTTCACACAGGAAGTATTTGAGATTTATCAAAAGTTACTAAATTACAAATAAATAATAAATTTATTTACATACAATACTGTTCAAAAGATTGTGGTTGGTAAGATTTTTAAATGAATTTTCAGCATCCTTACTCCAGTGTCACATGACATGATCTTTCAGAATCAGTCTAAATATGATTTTCTGCAGAAGAAACATTTCTATTATCAATCATTTTTGTGGAAACTGTTATTCAGGATTCTTTGATGAATAAAAAGTTCAGAGGAAACAGCACTTATTTGAAATAGAAATCTTTTGTAACATTATAAATGTCTTTACTGTTACTTTTAATCAATTTAATGCGTTCCTGCTGAATAAAAGTAATAAGAATAATACATTTTATTTGTAACACACTTTATATTTAAGCAAAAATCAAAGGATTTTTTTTTTTAAATTAACCAAAATCTCTACTAAAAAGGTGAGTTTAAGTCCGCGTTTAAAAGCATCCACAGTCCAAAAGCAAAAGTACATTTCTTTCTTTAAAAAAAAAACAAAAAGGCCTTTCCATTCACAAAAAGGCAGTAAGCATCATAGTTGTGGTGCATCTGGCTCCTGTTAGAATATCAAATGTCTGATAATTCACCATATATCTGTGCCTGCAGTGAAAATCAGCTATATTTGTGAAATTAGACGATTCAGCGACACACGCAGCAATTTTCAGCTCGATCTCAATGAAGCACTAATGTAAATCAGACATTTTTATTTGCTTTGGCGTGGCTTTAACACAGCATTCATTTAATGACATTTACATTTATGGACAAATACAACATAATAAAAGAAAGCAAAAATAGTGATCATACGCTCATTAGCCAACTGTTGAGGTATTGGACCTTGTTATGTCATGGTATATTTACAGAGTTACACATCAGACCATGAGGGAGGATTTTAAAGAATGTGTTATCCTCTCATCTCAAACTGTTGAGCAAACAGTGAGGATCGCACGAGCAAACAGACACACACGCAGGCGCTGCTGCACGCTCACATGCAGTATTAATAATTGACAAAGCGGCCCAATGAGATGAATGCAGCTTTACCATTAGATCGACTCAAATCTAATTACATAAAACGGCATCATTTTACAGGCATAGAGAAAAAGCTGTTTGGCCTGTTTAGCATCCACAAGTCCAATCGCTTCGAAGTCGTATGACTTGAGACATCATCAATTTAGCACAAACAATATGGGACGGGTTATGTGCATAAGCCTAAAGAGGACCTATTACGCTTTTTTTCATGTTCAACGATCTTTAAGCGCATTTTGTTTGCATAAAAAAGGTCTGTAAAGTTAAAGCACAAAGTCACTCAGACAGGAGTTATTCTCGGTTTCTGAACTCCCTGAAACGCCTCCCATTGTAGTCTTGAGTTTTCTTCAGGGAACAAACACGTCACAATATTCCTCATTTAAATAATTCCCGCCCAAGACATACGCAAATAAAGGGGAGAGGCCTGGTTGAGTTAGTTATTAGTTTGCTCGAAGAGGTTGACCAATCACAACACACTGGACCAGCTGACCAATCAGAGCACAGTGTGCTTTTCAGAAGGAGGGGCTTCATAGAGACAGGAACTAAACCGAGTGTTACCAGAGATGGTCTTATATTAGGGAGATGAGAGGGTCTGTATCTCTTACTATTGGAGAAAGCATAACGGCTAGCTTGGATCACGCGAGGCACCTCAGCCTATCGTGTAACCGCAGTGACGTCAGTGCCCGCCGTTCAAAGTTTTATGACAGTCAATTAGAGTTCACGTTAATGAGTTTCTTGTGGATTATTAGCGCATTGGTCTTGTGAATAAATGTTCTAGATTTGGTGTCATATGGCTAGTAAATGTACAGTAGGACTGCAATGTTTGTGGAATGTGCTTTATTGCGAGAAAAAAAAAAGCGTGGATAAGTCTATTACCTGCACAGTACTAGTCACTGCAGGGTGCAAAAAACATACATTTAAGAATACTTAATTGTAATTTAATACATTTAATTCACTAACATTATATGTATTTTTACCTTCATTCATTAAAAAAGCGTTATATCATCATTAGGCACAGCAGTCATAAATCATTACAATACAAGTCTCACCTGGCAGCGATAGAAAGAAAACTTCATTTTTTATTTTAATTAAACAACATACATTGATTACCTTGATTCATTAAATGATAAGCCATTTCCTCACAAAAGCAGTTTATTCAGTGTCGTGGAGCCTCTTCTCCATTGACATCCATTACAAAAACAGCCTCTGGTCTCATTCCCTGCGTAACGCCACAGCCGAGTGTTAGCATTAGCCGAGCCGTTACACTTTTTTGGGCTAAAGTTTGCAGGCTTGCCTTCTATTTGCTTTGGCGTTACTGACAGACTGGGAAAAGAGGAGCTGCAACAATGTCAAATATGTGAAAAACAAGGTGTTTTTGATCATTCAAGCATGAAAACCTATTCTAGTAGAGCCCCCAATAATTTATTTTTTAATTTTTTTTAATTCAAGGCTTTGTAAAAGGTCATAATAGGTCTTCTTTAATACTCAGGGTTAGAGGTTTGGGTTAGCAATAGCAATGCTTGCCATACCCAGAATATCAAGTCATTTCGCTATCTGAATCTTTGCACCTTATCAGATATTGGTGAACGGCCAAAGAACACTTGACAGCATCACAAAGGGTTCAGTAGGACATCAGACGTTCCTATCAGAAATTGGGAGACCTGTTGTCTGACGGAAGCGAAACCTGATTAAAAAAAAAGTGCTTTCTAGAGTTTGATCAATCAACAACATGTCACAAACTCACCTGTAGTAAGACAGCAAGCCATTGCTCAGGACGAACCATCGCCTTTGGTATCCCTTGATGTAATTAGTCCATTTAAAGAGCCAGCCTTTATAGGTGTCTCCAGGAGCCGGGACGGGTGCTTTGGGCTCCGACATCACGACAGCCCTTGGCTTCACAGTGTCTGACAGGGGTCTGGTTTGAACACAAAGGGTTAAACGAGTTAGTTGACACAAATGCCTGTGTGATTCACACCAAGATGGACAAACTCACTGCCTTTCTCTATTCCAGGGCACCTGAAATGTTTACATACACACCCAAGTTGTGTTGTTCCCCGCCTAGACAGCATTTTTGTGCTGCCTAAAGGGTTCTGTGCGGGTTGACAGCACCCTAAGTTTGTGAAACAACCCAAATCTTGCTAAATAACGTGTGTTATACTTAGTGGATATCATGTCAGTGAGCTCGTTTCGCCTACGTGTCACTCAGTGAACCTACTTCATTTCATTTACAGACACGAATTAAAACAAAACCATTTAAACAACAGTGTTTATGAGCGTAACACATAACCACAAACATATCTCGGGCTAGTTTAAACTTTGTTTAGATAAACGAGGCCTGTGTGTAGGAGTCATTCACACAAAACTACGAGTCCAAATGACCTTAACACGACAAAGTTTATTAACACCGCTATGAAATACATTACAAACACTCTTAATGTTTTAATAAAAATCCAGTTTCTTATAAGCATATGCCTAATGTAAACGTAAAATGACTTTGACGGCTAATTCTGCTAACGGCTAATAAAACTGACGCGCTATCGCGAGACATGGACGAGTACAGTCAAAAACACGAATATAGCCGTAAATTAAGCACTTACGTGACGATAAATCATCTATAAACCGCTCAAATGCGCGTTTACCCTCTAAAAGACCTGTAGTAATGTTAGCGTGCGGGGGGATGTGTGTTAAACTGAAGCTAACTAGCCTGTGCTAACCTTCAAGCTCTGTATAATGAGAGAAATCCCGTCAATTAATGCAAAACATCAGGTGAAACCTCCGGACAACAACCGAAAACAACACGATAAGACACATGAGATGGCCGGTGTTGACATGATTTAAAGTGTGTTAGAGCAGGCCAGCTCTTACCTGATCTCTCAATGATCCCCTCTGAAGAAGGAAGTCAGTGACATGAGAAGATCACAGGAGTGAGTTACTCACTCACACACACAAAACTCGCGTTAAAGTCACATTATCGCATCATTCCCAATTCACAGAACACAGACACCGTCCTGATTCTGGTCAACACACGTGTAAAAGTGATTTTACTTACTCGTTAAGGACATTTTAGCTGAGACTGGTTTGTTTTTAATGAGTAAATGTGATAAAATAGTAGCCTAATAATAAAGCTGCTGGAGTTACAGTGATTTTACAAGAAGCTGATTGTGGTAAATTAAGTGTTCGAGTTCATTGTCTTGATGAAAAGGTGGCAACTGTAACATCCTCCTGAGACCCAGGATTTCTTTAATTCAGTGAGTTTTCATGTTATTACTTTGTTTAATTATAGAGCATTAAGAAGCAGATGGAGGGGAAAACATTTTTGCAAAAATGTTTTATTCATATGTTTAGCTGTAGTGGACAACAGGACTCAGTTGTTTAAAAAAAATAAAAAAGACATGAAATGACATAGGCAAAAACATTGCCAATTTCCATTCACCAATACATTTTTAGGTTTCAGGATTTTTTAACCAAACTATAAAGATGATTCATAACAATGTTATGAAAGATATAATTGGAATGATTTGATATAACATTTTACTTTATGCAATATGTGAGTAAAATATATACACTGTATCTAATTTGCATATTAATATGTTCTTGGGCCAATGATGTTATGAAAAAAGAAGTGTGATAATAATGGGAGTAATAATTGGCAACATTTTTTATAATAATATCTCATATTTCATAAGAATATTGATATATAATTTCTTTCCCTATTCACTTGTTGTGTCCCCAAAATGCCTGATAAATATGATTTAAGTCATGATGTCTCTACAGTGGACATGTATGAAATCAATGCCCTGTTTTGTAACAGAAAGTCATATTTTGAATAGAAACCCCATAACATTTGGCTTAGATCTTGATTTATGACTAGCAATTTGAAAATTAGTCAGATTTAAATGATAATTACAAAATATTATCACATTTCCATAAGAGTGCTAAATTTGACATGACATCCAGACTTAAAACTGTGACGGGTAAAAAAAAAAAAAAGAGTCTATTCCTGGTCCCATGATGAAAACACAAGTGTTCAATAATAAACACCTACATGTATTATTCATAATAACCGGAAACAGTTGTTCCAAGTAATTTACCAAACAACGTAACCCCCCCCCCCCCCCCCCCCCCCCCCCCCCCCCCCCCCACACACACACACACACACCCTCTTCAAATAACAAACAGAAATGATCATTGTTAAACACAATACAATAATTCCAAAGAGAAATAAATAAATAAATATAAACAAATGAAAACGTACAAATAATGATAACACTTTATAGAAGGTTTCATACCTTAAAACATATTTTCATAATTTGTTATCACAATTTTTTCTTTTGTCAAATCAACTTAGATAATTTATGTGGTTCAGATAACATCATATTTTGAGTTTATGTTGATTAAACCAATCTTCTTCATTGTATTAACTCAATATTTTTGAATTTCAATGGACTTTATTTTTGCATAATGATATTCGTGTGATATTCATTCAAAAGCATATATTACATTCTTATACATTCTGTCCCAATAAGTGCATTAAAATAATACAGTTGTAGAAAAAAATGTTTCTGAGATACAAACCTGGTGCGTTAACTTAAGTAACAGCTGTATAATTAAAGCAATAACCTTATATATTTCATTAATCATTCGGTTTCAGTCATCTTGTTTTGACTTTGCCCACGGTAAATCAATGCAAATTTATAAACAAAAAAAGCAATGTTGCCTAAAATGTTGAAAATTGTGAAAACCTGTTAACTGTAAGATGTTTTTTTTTCTATATAACTAAACGATATAACACTATTTGTTTTATTTTAGTTAAAGGATATTTGTCCACAAACTCACATAAATCTTTCTTTCTGTCACGGCGCCTTTCGACCGGTGGGTGTCAGTATGCGCGCGTCCGCTTGCCTGCGCGTGTTTGTTGATGTCCATGAAGAAGAGTGTGTGCGTCATGCGCTGCAGTGTTTTGTTTTGTTTTCACATATAACACTTTCTGTTGTAGATAGCATATAAAACACCAGCAGCGGGGTAAGTGATGAATATATGTGGCGTTTAGACACGCTTTTAGACAGAGAATGCTGTAAACTCACGAATCAGCCCATATATAGTAGCTACGTGTTATAAATATCTAAATGTTTTCAGGGAGATGCCAGTGTGTTTAATAGTACGTGAAGATGATTCACATCATAAACCCATTCAGCTTCATCATCAACAAGCTGTGACTTTGGGTCGAGGACCAGAAACTAAGATAAAAGACAAAAAGTGCTCAAGAGAACAAGGTTGGTAAAGTTTAGTGCACCATATGAGCCAGTGGAGGATGCATATGGCAAGCCGTTTTGACTTTTAATCTTTCACAGGATGTGAATTTTTGAAATCAACAATTAAATTATTTTTTAATTCTTGATTTAAGGATTTAAGGAATTAGATTTCTACTAGTAACAATGGCATTTTTTATACATATCAGGAATAATGCTAATTCTTGATATCAACAATGACGTAATCACTCGCAGAAATACGAATTCTTAATAGCATTCATTACATTTCAACTGTTCAAACTATAATTCTTGATATCTGTAATTGCTAGTAAAACATTTATCCTTTTCTGATATCATGAATGTGATTGTTACTAGTAAGAAAGCCATTTTAAATATCAGAAATACATGTTCAGATATCAGACGTAACAAATGTAACATGTTGAACTTGAAATTCATTTACAAATATCAAGAAGTAACATTTGAACTGGTGAAAATTAATTATTGATGTCAAAAATGCTATTTTTTACTATCAAGAATTATATTTTAAAGAAATAAATTTTTGATATCAACAATTTAATTTGAATGGCAGCCTATGGTGACATTTAACTAGTGAAAATACAATTACAGATATCAAGAATAATAGTTTTTACATCACGAAGTTGTATTTCTGTGAGTGAAGACGTCATTGTTGATGTCAAGAATTAGCATTTTTTAACTGAAAATGTAGTTGTTGCTGTCAAGAATTCATATCCTGAGAACAAATAAATGTCAAAACGGCTTGCCATAGACGCAGGCTTTCTTCATTTTATAAATTTTTTGCAGTTGAATTGAGAGCTGATTGCAACAGAGGATTTATCTCAGTTAAACAGGTATGCTAGAACATTATAATATTAGAGAAATATTATAATATGTAATAAATTACAGTATAATGGATATTATGAATATAATAATGCATGTTTGATCCACTTAACAGTTGGGTGTGAATCCTACATATGTGGACAATGTGGTCGTGGGCAAAGGCAATCAGGTACAGTGTCATCAAAATCGCTTGTGTTATTTGGTATCCAGCAAACTGGCTATGTCCATAAATGCCCTGTTCTGTTGTAATTGAGGCTGTATTGCACAGGTTTCTGGTCTTAACATCCTACAAACCACATGTCGCCCACCTCTACAACCAGGTGACCATAAAGCCGGGCCAGAGACTTTACATGGTCAACCAGCTGTATCCATATACAGTGAAGTTCACCGAGGAGACGTTCACAGCCCGATCCGCTGCGGAGGGGAGCAAAGCCTCCAAAAGATCCCATCGGATGAGCTCTGAGGGCAACGGAGAGAAGAGTCCTGCAAATACTACATCATCATCCGAAGGTTCACCTCCAGCCAAAAAGACACCACCGCCGCCCGGACCTGATAAATCAGTGCGTTTCTTTTGCACGTTGAAACTTTTTTGTAAATGTGATAAAAATAGTAGCCTAATAAAGCTGCCCGAGTTACTGTGATTTTGCAATAAAATTCAAATATGTGATATTTTACACTTGTAAAAATATATTAAGGCAGTAGTTTTATATTGTACTGATACTTTTTCCTATTTTCAGACACTTTTTACTTTTAAGCCAGGTTTCCGAGCTGGTTGGAGAACCGGTTTATTGAATTTTGTTTAAAAAATTTTTTTTTACTAAAACATTCTTGTTTTCCAGGAATCTGCTGGCCATTGGAGCCAAGGGCTTAAAGTGTCAATGCAGGACCCCAAGATGCAGGTATGAGTTGTTCATTTCTATTGAAACGTATATTGATGAATTAAGAGGACACACACACACAGATACATACAGGTCCTTTCATATATTTTAGATTCATTGCACACCAACTGAAATATTTCAGGTCTTTTATTGTTTTAATACTGATGATTTTGGCAAACAGCTCATGAAAACCCAAAATTCCTGTCTCAAAAAATTAGCATATTTCATCCGACCAATAAAAGAAGTGTTTTTAATACAAAAAAAAGAGTCAACCTTCAAATAATTATGTTCAGTTATGCACTCAATAGTCAATACTTGGTCGGGAATCCTTTTGCAGAAATGACTGCTTCAATGCGGCGTGGCATGGAGGCAATTAGCCTGTGGCACTGCTGAGGTGTTATGGAGGCCCAGGATGCTTCGATAGCGGCCTTAACCTCATCCAGAGTGTTGGGTCTTGCGTCTCTCAACTTTCTCTTCACAATATCCCACAGATTCTCTATGGGGTTCAGGTCAGGAGAGCTGGCAGGCTAATTGAGCACAGTAATACCATGGTCAGTAAACCATTTACCAGTGGTTTTGGCACTGTGAGCAGGTGCCAGGTCGTGCTGAAAAATGAAATCTTCATCTCCATAAAGCTTTTCAGCAGATGGAAGCATGAAGTGCTCCAAAAATCTCCTGATAGCTAGCTGCATTGACCCTGCCCTTGATAAAACAGTGCACCAACACCAGCAGCTGACATGGCACCACAGACCATCACTGACTGTGGGTACTTGACACTGGACTTCAGGCATTTTGGCATTTCCTTCTCCCCAGTCTTCCTCCAGACTCTGGCACCTTGATTTCCGAATGACATGCAAAACTGAGCAACAGTCCAGTGCTGCTTCTCTGTAGCCCAGGTCAGGCGCTTCTGCCGCTGTTTCTGGTTCAAAAGTGGCTTGACCTGGGGAATGCGGCACCTGTAGCCCATTTCCTGCACACGGTGGCTCTGGATGTTTCTACTCCAGACTCAGTCCACTGCTTCCGCAGGTCCCCCAAGGTCTGGAATCGGTCCTTCTCCACAATCTTCCTCAGGGTCCGGTCACCTCTTCTCGTTGTGCAGCGTTTTTTGCCACACTTTTTCCTTCCCACAGACTTCCCACTGAGGTGCCTTGATACAGCACTCTGGGAACAGCCTATTTGTTCAGAAATTTCTTTCTGTCTTACCCTCTTGCTTGAGGGTGTCAATGATGGCCTTCTGGACAGCAGTCAGGTCGGCAGTCTTACACATTATTGCGGTTTTGAGTAATGAAACAGGCTGGGAGTTTTTAAAAGCCTCAGGAATCTTTTGCAGGTGTTTAGAGTTATTGAGTTGATTCAGATGATTAGGTTAATAGCTCGTTTAGAGACCCTTTTCATGATATGCTAATTTTTTGAGACAGGAATTTTGAGTTTTCATGAGCTGTATGCCAAAATCATCAGTATTAAAACAATAAAAGACCTGAAATATTTCAGTTGGTGGGCAATGAATCTAAAATATATAAAAGTTAAATTTTTATCATTACATTATGGTAAAAAAATGAACTATCACAATATGCTAATTTTTTGAGAAGGACCTCTATATGTATATACACACTGCCGTTCTAATGTTTGGGATCCGTAAGATTTTAAAATGTTTTTAAAAGAAGTCTCATTCTGCTCACCAAGGCTTCATTTATTTGATTGAAAATACAAAAAATAACAGTAAAATTGTTAAATATTATGACAATTTAAAATAACTGTTTTCTATGTGAATATGTTTTAAAATGTAATTTATTCCTGTGATCAAAAGCTGAATTTTCAGCATCATTACTCCAGTCTTCTGTTTTCAACATTGATAATAATAATAAACATTTCTATATTCACATAAACAGTTGTTTTAAATTGAATTTCACAATATTACTGTTTCTACTATAAATGCAGCCTTGGTGTGCAGAAGAGACTTCTTAAAAACATTTTTTTTTAAATCTAAGAGCTACTATTTATTGTCCTCAGGTGTACAAAGATGACAGGGTGGTGGTCATCAAGGACAAGTACCCAAAGGCGCGTTACCATTGGCTGGTTTTGCCGTGGGACTCGATCTCCAGTCTGAAGGCTCTGCGGCCGGAGCACGTGGACCTGCTCAAGCACATGCAGCGTGTGGGAGATCGGATGGTGCAGCAGTGCCGGGACGCTCACAAACTGCACTTCCGCATGGGATATCACGCCATCCCCAGCATGAGGTACACACGTGTGCCCTGATTGGCTGCTGGTGTGGGGAGGGCGGGGCTTGTCATGAACTAAATGTTTATTTCCTCTTAGTCACGTCCACTTGCACGTAATCAGCCAAGACTTCGACTCGCCGTGTTTGAAGAACAAGAAGCACTGGAATTCCTTCACTACAGACTATTTTGTTGAGTCTCAAGGTGAGTGGAAGAAAAACTAAATCTGCATGAAAAAAAAAATGAAAAAAACGATGCAATGTTTGTGTGTGATTTATTGCTTGTTTTATAAACTTGATAAAAGTCCTTAAATGAAAATGTTGCTCCATCACATGGATGTAAAGCATTAATAAATTATATTTAAAGTCCCCCTGTGGTGAAAATCAAGCTTTTAATGTTGTTTATATGTCTATGTGGGTTATTTAATATGCTTTAAGACAAACCATGTGCAAATTAATAAGTCGACAGCATTAATGAGTATTTTCTGCTTAAAACTGCTGTGAACCAAAGACAGTCTCAAAAACACGGTTTGAAATCGCTGGTGTTTCTGACGTCACACACTACCTTGTAACCAATCAGATCAACGTGTGATCGTCAACCAGTGGATCTCTGAGCTGAGTGAGTGGAGGCGGGGCTCATTTGCATATTCATAGAACCGCGTATACTAAATGAGGCAAGGGTGTCGAGTTACATTCAAGCTACTGTATTTTAAAGGCATGAAGAATTTTTTTCCAAGAAAAAAAAAACGTTTCAATATGTAATTTTGGTGATCAAAAATTAGTTTTAAGGGATAATTTTTGACAACAGGGGGGCTTTAAAAAAAAAGCTGTTTTTACAGAAACAAGCAGTGTAATCAAGTAAAGCGTTCATGCTCATCTTCCGCAGACGTGGTTGCGATGCTGGAGCGTGATGGGAAAGTGACGGTGAAGGAAGGTGCTAGTGAACTACTGAAGCTGCCTCTGCGATGTCACGCGTGTCGTAAAGAGCAGCCGACGATACCCAAACTCAAAGAGCATCTCAAAACTCACCTGCCTGCTTAAAGACACCACAGCCCTCTCGTACGGGACAGACACAGTTATTTTTTCTAGTTTAAAGTTTGTCAAAATTACAAATCATTTTGTAAACAGGCCTTTAGTAAAATGGATTTGTTCTGGATCTCTGGTGTTTTCATTCAATCCTCACTTTCATTAATGCAATAATGAATCAATAACATTCTCTTTGGTCTTTATTGAATGGAGTGCGTCTAAACATGGTAGTTAAAATTAAATTGTCTTTCACGCACACACAACTTTCACACTAAAGCACTTGGGTAAAGCTACTGTGTGTAATTTCTGCATCAAATGGAATTGCACAAAACTCTTTTCAAACAATTCATTGATTGTTGTGGTAAACAACTGGTCAAAACTGGCTAATGTTGCCAAGTCAAGCTCCTCAAAGAAATTGACTGCATTTCCATTTGCTGTTGCTAGTGGTGTAAAAATTACATACGTTAGCTTATTGGCACAAGGGAAATGACATTCAATGTTCTGCTGTTGATTTAGAAGTTGAGTCTCGTATAATATATTTGCTTGTAACATAATCCTGCACAAAATAAACAGTGCAAATATAAGATGGAACCATTACATAATATTAAAATAAGACACTCAAGAACCGACTGAACCTCAAACGATCTGAAACTACTTGAGAGGATCCTATATTAAATTGCTTGCATTGAAAGACTTTCTAGCTGTCGATGTTTTTCCAAGTCAAATAATATAAACAAGATAAAATACAAAAAGCACCTTTAAAAAAATAGTTAACTAGGACTAAACCCAAAATATCGCTAGATCAGTGGTTCTCAACCTCTCCTGCAGGGACCCCCTGACACACCATGTTTCTGTTTTAACCCTGAAATGGCACACCTGATTCAATTAATTAAAGGCTTAATGAGTCATTATTAGAGTAGGAAGTAGGAATTAGTTAATTGATCAATTAGTCAACTACTCATTAAGCCTTCAATTAATTGAATCAGGTGTGCCATTTCAGGGTTATAACAGAAACATGGTGTGTCAGGGGGTCCCTGCAGGAGAGGTTGAGAACCACTGCGCTAGATGATGACTTCTCTATAAACTTTAGTATACTAATAAAAATGCAGAGGCAAAAACTCTTTTGATTAAAATATAGGTGCAGAAATCTTCCAGCTTGTGTCGTTTCTTGTGCAAGTACCCTAGAGTTTTCTAATGTAAAATGCCCTTTTAAGTCGTGATGACAGATGTCTGTCACATTATAATCCCTGAAGAGAAGCTTTTGCGCATCTCAATAGCACTTTTTTGGAGTGTCAGCTGATGTAATACCACGCTGGTCTTCATCAGGCCTGTGTACTTCCAGTCTGAAACATAATAAATTATGAGTAAATGAATAGAGCGCAACACAGCCTGTCCGCTTATTCAGCGGCGTTTCTGGAAGTATTATTTCTATTCATTTTCCCGCTGAGAGATTTAAAAACAATAAGCCATGAACCAAACAAACCAGGTACAAGGTGAATCACAACATTACAAACTTTGATATGGAGCAACAAATTATTTGAAAATCGGATAAGACCGAAGGTAACAGATTGTGTACTTAACAGCTTTAAAAAGGTAAATAACTACAATCCCATGAAGCACTGCGAACAGCATAATGGTGAAATATAAAACGGTTGTTGATTATATCTATAGAAATACCATATTTTAAGTTTATTGCAAAATATGCATATATAGACATATTTGAGTATTTTGACTGCATAGCGAGAACAACTCAATAACGTTTTTACGTTGCTTTAAAAAAAAGTACAAATAATGCAAATGGATGACTTCACCTGAAGCATATACTATCATCGGAGATCACGGTAGGTCTGACTATAAAATGTAGAAGTTATTGTTAAAAATCATTTATGCGAGTTTTTACTTCAGGAACCCAACTGTTACACTCTAAACAAACGTATCTAATCTTGTGCTTGTATTGTTTATGCATTAAAACTCTGTAACTAATGCTGCATTTTACTGTCACAGAAAGCTGGAGTTTCCAACTTCCTACTAGGAAAAAAAAACTATTTAAGGCCCTGTTTACTCCTGGTATTAAGATGCGTTTTGGTCGATCGGATCACAAGTAGACGAGGGAGACACATTCCCGTTTACTCCTGGTGTTTTAATCTGTCTCTTTTGTCCACTTTCAAACACTTCTGTCCTGATTTCTTCAAGGAGGTGGTCTATGGGCGGCTAAATGTGTGGGTTTTTCATCTAATGGATAAATAAGCTAACACAATGTACATATGAACGCGACCGGAGCATCAGCTTTCATTTCTGCTCTGACAGCCGTAAGATCACGCCAAACGAGTGTGTGTGTTAGAAATCAGGAATGGAGAGAGAACATTGTGCTTGATACATTTTTCATCTTCAAACTAAACTTGGGTCTTCAGCCTACAAAGTTTAAACCCCGTCTGGCTAATGTACTCCCCGTAATGTTTAAGCATTAGATCAGTAGACCGAGAGAAGACGGTCTTTTGTGGCTGTTTGAACACATTCGACCACTTGAGTGTTTACACTACGAAAGCAATCCGGTCTAAATCATTTCCCACTACCTCTGGAAGTGATCGAAAGTGGACAAGCTCAAAACGTTTTAGACCCCGTCAAGGTCAAAGTTTATTTCTATAGCACCTTTTAACAACACGAATGTTGACCAAAGTGCTTCACAGATACATCAAAAGTACACATACAGTTTACACCTGTATTTAGTGTCGCCCACTTGTGATCCGATCGACCGAAAAGCATCTTAAAGGGATACTTCAGGATTTAGCATTAAGCTTTGTATTAGTAGAAAACCTGTAGTATTTTCGAATTACCGTGCTTTCCACCCTCATATCCCCCTGAGACGAGAGATTTATGTATTTTTTAGTCTGGAAAAATCCTCCGATGACGCAAAAATCGTCGTTTTGCGTCATCGGAGGATTTTTTGGCCAGAGGCTAAAGACTACAGCCAGTAGTAGGGGCTGTCCCGCATGTTCTCACCCCGCCCATAGAGGCTGGGATCTCACTCACAGAATGTACACATAGTGTCAGCCATCTTTGTTTGGAAGCTAAGCTAGCAGGCTCTTGTTCTGTGGAGAAAGCTGAGTAGTAGGGGTTACCATCCTTTTTTCCCGGACATCTCCGGCCGTCTATGTTCGGGATTCAGCTTTTGCTTTCTGCAGTCGCCATTCATTGTTTACATGCACACCTTTTGTTTCAATCTAACTGAATTCATTCCGATTGGTGAATCTGAATGTAGTGTTTACATGAACGCTAAACAAGTGATCGGTTGATGTGCGTTTTAACATTGCTAAGAAAATCCCCGCTCCTCCGTGAGAGATACCAGACCGGTGCGTCTCACAGGTGTCTCTCATCATCAGTAATCACGCCACCGGCCGCGCGCCGTTCTCCCGCGGCCCTCACTCGTCCTGCTCGCCACAGTAAACATGATGAATGGCGACTGTAGAACGCAAAAGCCGAATCCCGGACATTTTGGGCGATCTCGAAATCCCGGGCAGACTCATCACGGAGACTCACTAGTAGCCTAGACTTGTTGTTTAACGACTGCGCTCTGTTACCGGTAGGCGTGGCCTCCTAGGGCAGCGAAGCAAGTGCATTCTGGGAGTTGTTGTCTTTCATCCACATAAGCCAAAAATACATTTTCTGGCTTTTCTCAGTCTAGAAAGCTCCAAATTCAAAAATAATTTCACATTTCTTCTACATAAATGATCCATTTTAAATACACATTCATCTTTCCAGAGGTGAAGTATCCCTTTAATACCAGGTGTAAACAGGGCCTAAGATGGGCTTACAAACTTGTGCAAAATCAAACTTACATGGAATTTAAATTGAAAAGGTGTTTATGACAAGAAATCTGTGATCAATTGAAAATAAAACTATATTCAACTCACCATTGATTTCATTTCCCGACTGTCTCCTTCTGCTTTGCTGTACCGCTCTGTCGCTTTCTTGGCGTTCTCCACGAACTCCTACATGAACGATCGCAGAGAGACACCGAGAGCATGTTTAATCTGCTATACAGCAACACAAGGCTATTATAAATGACTTTGGGTTGGGCTTAATTGACCTTGAGGTCAGAGGAAAAGAACAGGAAAATCTCTCACCATAAGGCTCTTGTCCATGTAGTACTCGCTGCCCGAGCTGCCGTCGTTGTACTTGGTGTCAATGGCGAAGCAGAGGAAGAGTACGTCTACTACGATCTCAAAGATTGAGAGGAAACAGTGGGCCACCAGGAAGGCGAACACACACACGATGATGAGCGGCAGCACCCAGACGGTGTACTCGCGCTGGTAGTTCAACGCAAGGACACCCGCAAACGCCGTGCATGACACGATCAACACCTGCAGACACAAGAAAAATTCAAAACACCAATCTAAACTATTTTATTGCTTAACAAAACAAATCGATACAAGGTCACTTTTGTACCAGAAGCAATTCGTATTTGTAATGCAAATCTTTTTATTAAGGATTGTTGTTTGCGCTTTTTTTTCTCCTTGTGTGAATGTTATTATAAAGCATGATGCATTGGAATGTTGTAATATGTAGATATGTGTATGTGGAATAGGATTGTTTTTAATGTATGTTTTTTTTAGTTTGTGATGTGATGCCACTGCCCTAATATAATTGCCCCTTGTGGGATTAATAAAGTGGTTAACTTAATTTATATCTTAGCAATCTTTATCACATAAATCACTATCATCAATATAATTGTCAACTGAAATTAAGCTCAAATAAAATATAAATATTAGATAATTATTATTATTTTTTTTATAAATGCTGCCTTGTCAACTAACTGGAATGAAAAATTGAAGTACTAAAATTAAAACTGAAGTAAAAAATTTTTTTATATATATATATATATACACACACACACAGTACTGTGTATATATTTCTTTATAGCTTTAATATATTTTTTTATTCAGTTTTAATTTTCGACTTCAACTTAAATTTTTTATTTCAGATAGTTGACGCAGCAAAATGTATATATATATATATATATATATAAAATGTTTATAACACTGAATAATAGTATATATATATATTAGGGCTGTCAAACGATTAATCGCATCCAAAATAAAAGTTTGTGTTTACATAATATATGTGTGTGTA